TGTAGCCAGGATCTACAGCTTGACCGCCATAAAAGCCCAACCAATGAAGGTCAAGTTTGTCCCGGGGGAAAGTTAAACTGTCATTGGACCGCGAAGAACATAGGAGGAGTTCGAAATTAAGGTTCGACTTCCCTCCATTGCAAAGCGGATGACAGGTGACAAACAAAGGTTTAAAAACCTTTAAGAAAAGATATGCACCACGGACAATAAATATCAATTTAGGGGGCCTATCTTATAAGCAATAATTAGCAACTACCTGCCAATAATATTTTTCACAAAATCACTTAAAAGCACGGAACTTTTCAATAGTAGGTAGTTGTTTTGATTATTAGCTTATTTACTCAAGGAATATAAGTGCCTACCCTTCCCCAGATCCCCTTTCCCCTGGTAATAAACACTATATTCTATTGCCAACTTACAAACTTTCTTTCATTATCATGCACAAAAATAACTTCCCTATAAATTGCACTTCCCTTTGTCCTTGACTCACTTACGCTTGTTTATGTTGATCCTCAAAGAACTACGGGCGATATTACCCTCTTTTGTTTTTAGAGGGATCTTAGACCTTATGTGCTTGTGTTAAGAGCGAATGAAGGAGGAACGAGGTGTGCATTTCAATAAGCATGCTGTTGCGATTCAGAGCACGTGCACCGACGACATGAGAAGTAATGGCTGGAGGAAGGGGGAAGTGTGAGGGGGAGGGGGGTTGAGGTAAAGCAGGGTACTCATCTAGCCGTGTAGCATGTAATGTATCAGATACTGTATCAAGTGAGTACAGTCACGGAATGAAAAGGTTCGTCAGTTTTCAAATTGATTCCTTATCTTTAACTGTTCGTCAGTAAAGTTCAAAATTATTCAGATCAAAGTTGTTTGACGATTTATCTTGTCAAGAAGATTATTATGATTGATAAACTAAAACCTTCTTGTTGGTTCAACATTGCCATTATTATTTTTATTAAATAAAATAAAAAACTATTGTCAATTGGTCAATGTCATCATTGCATTGGACTGATGGGATAGAAAAATAAACAAGCAAAACCTTATTCCAATTACCAAACGTCATATTTATTTAAATGTTAGCAGCACTGTTTCTTGCACTGTTATGTTGGCAGGTTTGACTCTTACAGTACCTAGTGCAAGCGAAAACCGACACTAAGGTGACGAACCTTTTCATTCCGCGACTGTACAAAGGCACGAGCCCGCTGCGAGCTGCTCGCGCGTGGTTCGCAGGGAGATCGCAGCAACCCACCGACTGGCGGTATCCCTGCCAGCACAAAGGCGGCTCGCAGTAGGATCCAGGATCTCGCAGCCAGATACGCAATGACCGTGGACGAGCCGTACTCACTTGCAGGTTGGTTACGTTACATGTTACGTTACGTGCTACATGGCAGGTGAGTACCCTGCCTAAGGTGCCTTAATGTTCGAGATACTTGCAAATGATTGATTGGCTTTGGACAGGAAGGCGATGCGGGTCCGTAGAGTTTGCGTTCAGGAATGGCGTTCAGATCGAATCGAGTTTGTACATCAGTCACATAGCGGTTTATTTATAGCTTCATTGGGCATAGGCCTTTTACTTGCAGAACTTTCCCAAGTGGGAATAGGTGTCAGGTTATTTGTAATGTCTGAATTCTTATATGTTGTACCTAATATCTACTACAGACTTACGCATATACAAAAAAACAAAGTGGTTTATGTCAAACTCTACTAAATGGAGTAGGTAATTGAAGATAAACTGATTGGATAAGTAGAGGTATAAAAGGGCTATTTTCCTATTTTTGGAATGAGTCTCTCCCGTTACTAAACCCTTATCAATCAAGTGATAGGTAGTAAATACTCAATCGCTTAATTTATTCTCAACTAGCTGACCCGGCGAACTTTGTTCCGCCTTAATGGCAATAAATAAGCAGACTTTTTTTTACTTTGAACGGGATAAAAACTACCTCCCTGACAATTTTCAGCTAAATCGGTTCAGTCGTTCTTGAGTTATAAGTGGAGTAACTAACACGACTTTCATTTATATATATGTTACGGTGAAAGTGATAAATTGAAAATTATGAATAATCGTCGGTTATTATGAATAATTACCGACAGGCGAGGTAAAAGTGATAAATTAATCACATTTATCAGTGATTATTTCATAATGTAACCTTAATACTAACAAATATCATAAAAGAGAACACCGGCTCGTGTACAGCGCTCATGTAGAGCCTCACATTTTGAACGTTTTGATATCATATATTAATATAATTTGGCAAAATTAGTTTGGACTGTTTCTTGCGTTACATTATTTTGCCATAATGCCTATAACACATTGTTTTGATTTAAAGTAAAAAATAGGTTAAGGTGCGGCGGGGGTGGCCCTTGGGCCACCCCTAAGCCGCCTATTTAGTTTTATACAGACATAAATGACCTCATATTAATCACATTTACAAAATCATGCGGTAATTATTCATAATAACCGGCGATTATTAATAATTTTCACATTTATCACTTTGACCGTAACTGTCACGGTTATTAGCTTTAGAGCCATGACATGATTAGAATTTTAGTTAATAGTTAGATAAATAAAAGATAGATTTGGTTAACAAGTAATTTATTTAGGAGAAAGTAGCAAGAGACCTTAAGGGTGTGGGTTACGAGCAAACTATCGTATCGCACGAGATTCGTCACCGGTGGTAGTATATTCAAACCACTGTCCTCGCTAGCATTGATGGTTATGTGGTTTGGTTCCTCGAGTTGGTAGGCCCGCAGAGTCGTCGACGCGCCGGACGGCTAGGGCCGTACGCACTGTGGTGTAGGGCCACTTAGAGTGTGCGCACGGGCCGTCCGACACGGCAGGCAGCTCTGCCGGGTTGAAGAGCCAGGTGGTAGGATCGGCAGTGGTGACCATGCATGGTGTAGTAGGTAGAAGAAGATGAAGGTGGAGATGAAGGTGAGGGCGAACGTGAACCCTGCAAATCAAAGCGGACACTAAAGCAGTTGCTAGCTTTTGTCCGTTTGACTGCGACATCAAAATACTAGCGAAGCAGATGGAATGATTTTGGTAATAAATGGTGATGTAATGATGTGGCAGTCAAACAGAATTACAGTAGGTGCAGAGAAAGTGATTGCAAAGTGAAGTAGGCAAAAATATTAAATTACGTAGGTAGAAAATAATTTAGCATATCATCTATGTAGGCAATTAATTTGTAAAACAATATAGGTAGGCAATAATTTAGAATAATTAGGACAAGTAGAATAAGATTAGAATAGTTCAATTTAGTAAATTAAATAGATTTTAGAAAGTGTCGTTACAGTACGACCAAGGTCATGTAAGGTCATGACGTGTCGATGTCATTTCATAAAATATTGATTTTATTATGTAGTAAGATATAAAATATTACGAGTAACAAATTGTAGAAACAGTTAAAATTACGAAATGACATCGTCCAGATACACTGAGCACATGGATTGCACACCTGGAGAACAAAATGGCGGCTAGGTACTTACATTTAGCACAAGTATAAAATCTAGGCATTAAAAATACTTTTGCAACACTCACCCGGTAGCGGGGTTCACCAATACGCGATTACATATTTAGTTTTTAGAACATTACGTAAATCGCGGGTCCGGCGGTGACGGACAGCGATACGTCCGTGCTCAATAACGCTCTGGCTCGGACTTAATAAATTTACATTCGTTTTGTAGAATAGCTCAAATACTAATAATACAATGCAAATAAAACATACCTTAACGACCTGGTTTTTCTTGTGTTGGAAAATAACTGAAAAAGAAGTGAAAAAAGTAATGTATTTTTCTAATTAAATCCATTCTTACTCCCATAAAATGTATGAAACTTGTGTCTGCTTTCTTCTTCTACTAATAGATAATTTTATTGGCTATCGCATGATATAAAATATTTGCCTATTAATGTTAAGCTACCCACGCTTTCACTTGTTTTTTAAAGAAGAGGTGTAAACTAAAAATTAAAAACTTAAATCGATGTAATTTTTCGAAAAATGGGTCAGGCCCCAAATTGGAAGTATTTTCATCGATAAAATTGTCCATAGATTACGCCCTTAAAGTTTGATCACTACATGCCGGACACACTGTATAGATAACAACTACTACCAGTACCTAAATCAAACCTTTATTATAATTTTGAACGACTTTTTTATTCTCTCAAAAAGCGCCATCTTTCCAAGCGTCGATCCAACGAGTAGGTACCCATGAAAGCCTTCGGAAGTTCCGTACCGTCTGCTGTACTATGCCACTAAGTGAATCGTCCGACAGAATATAGATGTCACTTTATCAGTGGGTTGAACCTAATAAATGATTAAAGAACAAACAAGCATAAAGATTATAAAAAAAAGTGTTAGGTAAATCAATTTCATCGCAGTCAGAATTTACCTCAAGACATTCCCCCGATTCTGAATTTTCTTTCGCTACCAATGAATAGCGTAATAAACTATGTATTTCGACAGTTCATAGTGACGAAAAATCTAGAGAATTGTATGACATCAATATAATTCAGTAGTACCTACACTAGAAAGTGTTTTATTTTAATAACATTTTTTTTAATGAATTCGTGACAACATAATCTTTATTACACACACTAATACCCACGTAAATCACGTTTTAATTTACGCTAGGTCCTTTCGATACGATCACATTATTATTGATTTGTCTGCTAAAGTCTCTTTCAACTCATTTGCCTACTTTATTGTAAGTGAAAATTCTTAAGTATAGCAATGACAGTGAAATTTTTCATAGTGGGCATATTGATATGGGTATTGAAGATATGGTGGAGCAACAGACATAAAAGAAAATTAGCTAAAACTATGGGAAATAGCCTGAAAAGTTGGCCAATTATTGGTCATGCGCATTATTTCCTTGGATCTAACGCAGGTATGAAGAATCAAGTGGGTAACATATTTCCAAATATTTGAGCTGCAGCTGTCAAACATAGAAAAGATAAATTCAACAATCGTTAAAAAGTTATAAGATCAAGAGAATCGACAGCACTAAAAAGGCGAATGACAAGCTAAAATGTAATTTCACCCTTTATTTTTACAGATCGAATGAAATCAATCCATGAAATTGGAAATGAAAGCATCAAGAGTGGAGGAGCAACCTGCATTTGGCTTATGAATAAATTGATCGTTAGTAAGTCATCGCTTCATTTTACCATGTAACCATGTTATTTTATTGAATTGTAAAAAAAATATGAACTGCCGAAGACTTCTTTGTCGCCCTTTAACAATATTGCGAGAGCTGGAAAACGTAGTGTGGGCAGGCCTCCCACTAGATGGACCGACGATCTGTTGAAGGTCGCGGGAAGTACATGGATGCAGGCAGCACAGGACCGGTAGTTGTGAAAATCCTTGGAGGAGGCCTTTGTTCAGCAGTGGATGTCATTTGGTTGAAACGAACGAACGAAACAAAAGCTTGTGCAATTTATTGAAAATATGTCAAAGCGACGTGTGTTAATCATAATATGCAAAAAATAGGCAAATAGGTAATGTCTAACAACGCGGAGCTTTTGTGTAACATGTCATTGAATTTGTTTGCAGTGATGGCCGACCCGGTTGACGCCGATTTCGTACTCAAAACGTTCTTGAGCAAAGACGATGCTGTCGATGTGACCCGTAATCTAATCGGATATGGCAGTCTTTTTGCACCAGGTAGCAGTTCAAAAATATTTTTAAAAATTTTAGCAACAATTTCTCATTACCTTACGTTTTCATGTTTAATCAATCTCTGGCTGCTGCAATACAGGCCTGCAAGCCTAGTGCAGGAGCCGCTGTTAATCTCAAATTAGATTATGAAACCACGGGCAAAAGCTAGCATCATAACTAACTATATGCCATCCTATTCGACTACTAATGTCGTCTTTTGGTATAAAGGTCTTCAGAAACGTCTATATTCTTCTAGAAGCTCTTATATTTTTGTATTTACAACCCTTTCAGTATCAATATGGCGTCCCAGGCGGAAAATCCTCGTTCCTCACTTCAACTTCAAAAGGCTAATAGAATTCGTGATCGTCCACTCCAGACTGAGCTGGGTGATGGTGGAGAAACTGAAGCCCAACGTTGGGACTGGTGCCTTCTCTCTGTGGGACTACATTACTAACTATACTATGGATGCTATTGGTGGTATGTAACTTGGCAGTTGTTATTTTGGGGCAGCCAATGTCGTGTGATTACAGCAGAGTATAATAGCACTCCTTCTCTTATTTATTTATTGAGTGTACAATATGAGATACAGTGACAAACATACCTAAAAAAATTTTGTATGTTGCTGCTACAAAAACTATCATCACAGCATGGATAACCCATATCCCTTGAAAGTCGTGAAAGGATTTATCAAAAATTTTAGCATAAAGAATTGTATCTCAAACTAAGATGACTTAGAAATAATTATGCGAGCAACAGAAATCTGCGAGATAAAGAATTCCCTAATCTATCTGGCTAATGAGGGATTGTAGGCCAAACTGGCAAGTTATAGAGAGCTTCGCTCTTAGTAGAAACTAAATGGCCTGATGATGGTTTTTTTTATGCTAGACAAGGCAGGTATTTGACCGCAATCGCACCTGGTGTTAGGTGAGATGCAGTCTAGGATGATACATAATCTGCCCTGTAAGTGCCTATTCACTCTCGCCTTGAAAACGCCCGAATTATAGTGTTCAGGAAATACAACAGCAGGCAGCGAATTCCAGTCCCTAGCTGTTCGCATTATAAATGAGGTGATGAGTAGTTAATTATTGTACTTAGAAATTTCCACGTGATATTACAGCTTCACTTGGGTGACACATATTGGTTATGCCAATGCCAATATCGGCAATCGGACATAGTAACCCTTGCGCTTCTTACAAGTCTTAATTACGAACTATGAATTCTCACACAGAAATTGTCTTCGGCATAAACTTGGATGCCCAGAAAAACAGCAACCACCCTTTCCCGAAGGCCTTCGAGGAGCACAGCGCATTTCAAGGAGCCAGAGTCCTTCAGCCGTGGCTTCAGAACGACTACCTTTATCAACTGTGGCCATGCAGCTCCGCGTATTACAGGTTAAGCAACTTTATGAAAAATTTCGTTAGTGAAGTAAGTATTTATAGGTAATTCCTTTCAGATTGTACTTATTATAAGAGGCATCATTGGATTCTACCTTAAATAAATTGTGATAGGAGTGAATTTGCAACCGATATGAATATTCTTATGTGCTATTAACTCTACCCTACTGGAGAATTTATGTTTTTCTTTAAGTTCTAATAATAATTTACATTTTATACTTTTTATTTAAATATTGAGAGCATGACTTACGTTAAGCTTTCCTATTTTTCTGTATTTAAGCTTGTTCTTGAAAAAAAGAAGATATTTACACTCAGGAAGAACGAAGATGAAGTAGAAGATTATTTATGTAAGTATTCTAATGTATTTAACCCCTTTTAAGTCGGACAAAGTTTTTTACACTTTAGTAACAAAATTGATATTCCAGATGCAAAAGACGATCGACCAAAGGCGATGCTAGAATCTTTCATCGAGAGAGCAGAGTTTACTGATGTAGAAATGAACGAAGAGATTCTGGTGCTAGTTTTGGCTGGGACTGACACGTCGGCAGTGGGCCTTGCCTTTGCCGTGTCGCTGTTGGCTCGACATCAAGATGTGCAGGACAAGTTGTATCTTGAGTAAGTGTTCTCACAGACAGTGTAGTATAATTGAAATATCTCAAAGGATATTCAATGAAAGCTAATTTAATGCACTCATACTGAAATACGCTGAAAATCAGTTTCGAGACAAGCCCTGGCGCGATCTTGATGTATGCTGAGCTTGTGTATCTCTTTCATTATGTACTTATGTTTTGCCTGCTTGTATACCATTCCTTCAAATAAAAAAATCATAGGTAGTAACCTACTTGACGATCATTGCAATCGAAATTTATGTTCTAGACTAAAAGAGTTCTACGGTGACTCGAGCAGACCAGTGATGGGAGAAGATCTGCCACATTTAAAGTACCTCGAAGCTGTGATCAAGGAAACCCTGAGGCTGTATCCTTCTGTGCCCTTGATCGCGAGGAAAATCGATCAGCATGTTACACTCCGTTAGTATTGATTTTATTGGTTATAACTTACGATTTCCACGCGTACGATGTCACGAGCAAGTTTGAATATTTTTTCCCGTTTTCGCAAAATTTTTCATTGCTTCTATTTTTTTTTTAAGTTTAATAGTAATTGGTTATTGCACAAATTACTAATACTCCCGTTAGCCCCTCGTAATTTATGCTTATGTCACGAGTGAACTCACTACAATAGTCGAGCGGCGGCGAGGATCGAACCCGCGTTCCCCGGATCACGAGTCGGCCAGTCTTGGTCGGCCAGTGGTTTTAATTGCTTCGATTCTATTGGTCATAGCGTGATGGTACATAGCCTATCATAGGCTATAGGCCCTATAGCCATAGCTATTGCCTTTACTAGTAATACACGAGTTAGAGAGGTATATTATATGCTAGTAAGTAAGTATTAGATAGAAGTTATTAATTTTATTGATACAAGTAAACACTTCAATTTTATCATTAAGTAAACCTTACTGGAATGAGAACATACAGCTTCTTCATATCGTGTCGACAACAAACCTACACAGTGTCAGCCCAAAACTCCGCTACAAGAGTGTCGTTGCCAGCAGCATTCATTAAATCCTCCTGAGTGCAGTTGCTCGGGAACTCAGGGCACGACATCATGTGCTTCATCGACTGATATAACATACAGCTAGTAACTGTTTACTAAAATATGCATATTACTAATGACGTATGATAACTATCATAAACCCATAAAATACTAGTTTATTACCTACTATTACTAGTACACGATGTTTTTTCCTCGTCGGTAATTTAGTAGAATAACATTTAGCAATTAACTCCTAACCTGCGTCGCATCAGCAAAAAATCTGCCACATACCTACCTACGTGGTCAGTACCTACAGACAGCACATCAAGCTTTACACTAAGCTGTAGGCCTGTAGGTTAGAAGCTATTTCGCAACAAAAATGTACATTTGATGTACTGCAGTCTGTACTTCTGAACGAGCATTTTCAAGGTAACATTGCCAGTAAATATTACAATTATTGATGTTCGTTTAAATACCTTGATTTGGTTCTAAATAGTTTGTATTAATCCTTTGCGCAATCCCTTTTCAATCATAATATTAATAAGTACCACCAGTAGTCAAAATTGAATAAAATATTTTTGATTTGATTTGTCATCGTCACCTTCATCAGGACATTCAGTTTCTACAGGAGGACAACCCTCTCTAATTTACTAGAGACAAATGGAGATTTGACCTACTCGCAAAATCCCCAAGCTGACCAAAAGAGCTGGGGAGACAGTATATTCGCATAATCTCCCACACATTTTCCACAATTTGCTTGTTGTTGTACACAGGGGCATTAACTGTCTGTTTTTAATAAATTCTACGAAAACATTCAAGGTAAACAATTCCGTCATTTATGATGTTCAATAGCTTTACCTATTAATGCTTAACGTACAATAATGGTGCTAACTATGACTCTAACTACTAAGTTTGACGTAAATGTATTTAACAGTTACTGCGAAAAACAGGTTAAAATAAATCTTGATAACAGTCGGAAGAAACATTAAATTTTAATAATCGTTTCTTCCGAATTCTCACATCTCTCAATTATAATAATATTCGCATTTATAATATAAGTAAGATTACTACTACAAATGACGCTTAATGGATATAAAAAGAAAAGAGTCTTAAAGGTTATTACAATGGATTTAATGAATAAAATGAATGAAATTGAGCTTTAGAAAAGCTTTTTACATTCTAAAATTTGGTATGTGACTCTGTGCTGGAAAAATCAGTAAAGCAATTTCAGTTTCGATTGTGTTTTTATCATCAAGCAGTTGCCAGCGTTTGTTCGTTCTTGAAAGGCTCCTGCACTAATCTTCACTTTATCTTTTTATTGCACGATTAGTGTAATTTTGCGATTTTTCGACCTTTTACGTCTTAAGATAAGTGTCAAAGACCTGCCTTGTCATGCATAAAAAAGCAGGGATTTTGAGCAATTTTATTTTGAAAGTAAATACCTACTACTGTATTAGTCGCTGACGGCTGCTAATATTTTATAATCATTTTTTTCTTACAGCGTCCGGTAGAAACCTGATTCCAGGGATAGGGGTATACATAAACCTGTGGTCGATTCACAGGAACCCCAGATACTGGGGGTCTGACGCCGAGGTGTACAGGCCAGAGCGTTTTCTAGAAGGACAAGAAATACACCCAACTGCCTATATGCCTTTCAGTCGGGGTCCTAGGAATTGCATTGGTAAGAATACCAATCGGATTGGATTTGTTTGACTTTACAGACTTTTAATCGACTGACAGTTGGCGCACAACTCGTGGCACTTAATAACATTACTTTCCAGGGTTTCAGTATGCAACGATGTCCATCAAAACTGCTCTGATAAACCTAGTGCTGAGCTTCAAGTTCGCGGCGCCCTCTGACAGCGAGAGCAAGAATCTAAAAGTCAAATACGACATCATGTTGAAGCACGTTGACAACTTCANGTCCGTGAGCACGTAGAATTTTGTCCGATGACCCCAAGCTACCCATCCTTATCGCTCGCGCGTAATTATGTTGCTGTCGCGACTGTGCGACGCGTGCCCGCAGTGAGTGTGCGAGCGCGACAGCAACATAATTACGCGCGAGCGATAAGGATGGGTAGCTTGGGGTCATCGGACAAAATTCTACGTGCTCACGGACTAGACTAGAGCAGTTCGCCCTGGTTTTGACGGCGGATTTAACAATCATAAATAAATACCACCAAATATCCCGAAATGTATTGCTGCTTTTTTATTAAAGGGGTCCTTAAAATTGTGATTGATTTCCTAAGGGATTCGTGGACTTTTAACGCTGGGCTAAAATTATTCATGTATTTCAAGCAAATTGTAAACAAAAATGTTGCGTTTCCAAATAAATAAAATAGATAGTTTAAGATGTAATACCATGGGATAGATTTAATTAAGAACCAGTAACATTAACTACAGTTTTGACCTTATTATTGCGTAAGTGGGTCAGATTTACTGATCACCATGGTCATTGAAACTGGTTTGTACAAAATTGTGTATTTTATGTAAATGACGTCACAAAACACGACCGATCGACCGACAACGTCATGAAGGTAGCACTAGCAAGGCGCTAGATGCAGGCTGCTACCATTGGTATCAATCATATGGAAATCATTTGGGGGAGGTCTACGTTCAGCAGTGGACTGCTGACAGTCCTATGGCTGAAATGATGATGGTGATGATGATGATGTCTTACACTTACAGCAATCCTATTGGACATTCATGATTGGTTTATCTGAAGGCGTCACCTTTATTTTATACGAATGTTAGTTACAAAAATTAATTGGAATGTTTTAAATATTAGTGACTATTTTAATAAAGAGTCAGAATTAATATATTTTTCCTTCTTCCATCCGTTACACGAAGTTACAACCACGGTACCAACCGCCCTAGTACCCACAGAAACCATGTGTTTATAGTTCGACAGCAGCGACGAAAACGAATTTTTTATATTAAAACATTCTAGTTACAATTAAATTTAAATTTTAAAAACATGATAATTGATTTTATTTATTTAATGAATAAATTGTTTTTATTTTTTTATTCGGGATTTTCTTGCGCTGCTTTTTCTCAGCAGTGGCCCACAGAAGTAGAGATAGGATTTAAATGAGGCGTGTAAAAGCGCTTTCGAAAAGCATAATTGCAAAAATAAATTGCTTTTTTTACTTTTCATAGGTAATAGTCTATACCAAAAATTCCCAACCGGAAGGGGCGCGGCGTAAAGAAATGTCAAGGAGGGCGTAATAGGTACGTTTGCATTTCCAAAAAAAACTATTTAACTCATAGGTAAAATATTATAAATCTGTCAAATTCTATACAATAAACACCAGTAATCGTTAGTTATAGTCGAACTTAGGTAGTGCAACTCAGCCTTATTCTTCCGCGTGACGGTAAGCAGGTCCTTCCTCTTTTCTATTCTTTATGAATAGCATTACTTTTTAAGACAAAACATGTTTATACTTACAATATTTCAACGTAGACCTCCTAACCGTTTAGACGTGGCGGAGGTCTCAATCATCTATGTCAAGGTTATCAGTTGGAAGCTTTACTTGAATAATTTTTATTTTTACTTTTGTGTACGTGACTATTGCCCTAGTTTTTTAGAACAAAAGTTGTTATAACAGTTTAAAAATTAGAAAATATGCTAGCTCAAATATTTTTAGTGTCGGCATTTATATGGATGGCAATGTTGTGGTGGCAGAACAGGGGGAAAAGGGATTTGTGCAAATACATCAAATCTGATATACCTTGCTACCCATTCATTGGAATGGCATACAAGTTTGCTGGAAGCAATGAAGGTAAGTCCTTAAATTTTAATATTTTAAATTAAATAGTATCAGTTTAAGAAGTATTAAAGGCAGATAAGGCAATTAATATTAAATATCACAAGCTACATTGTACTGTGTTTTATAAACTCCCCTAGTTGACTGAAGGAGGTTTTTGCCATTGATAAGACCGCATAAATGGCTGCTCTTTGTGTGGCCGTGGTTTTTTAGAACAGTTGATCTCCCATAAAATGGCAAACTTAAATGTACTTTTAAGTGTAGTACCATAGCCAACTGCAAACGGGAATAGAATCCGGACTAATTCCGGAATGAGGAAAGTTTAAATTTTCCGAAGATAATTACAGGATGATTTTTGTATCAGTGTCAAATATAATATGTATTAGGAGCGACTCAGAATCAGTAACTTAATCGATTAAAGTAAGGAAAAAAAACATATTTTAATTATTCTTATTCGCTGCCCGCGGTTTCGAAATTGACTCACGTGGATAATTGCTTCGATCATAGAAAAATACATACACACAGTTAAAAACTGCAAAGCTTAATAAACATAATGGTGAGCGAAAATAAGCAGTAACCTTTAAAACTTAAGATATGGGAATTAGACTTTTTAGATTAAAAATAATTAAGATAAAGTTCTATAGTTAATTATTGTTCTAAAGAGCTTATAAAAAAAAATATACTGATAACAAAGTCAGCCTGTATGTATTTACTTTCTATGAAACAATTTTATGAATGAAACTTGTATTTGTATTCTGTTGCTGTATCAATAAATATACCTACCTACCTTTTCGTAGCTTAAGCAGACCATTTACTTAAATTTGTTGTTGTCTTCTTTTTTTAGACAAGATGAAAACAGTGATGGACATTGGTAGAGAAGCCATTAAACACAATGGCTGGACACACTTGTGGCTTGGAATGCAGTTATTTGCAGGTGGGAAACTTTTAATTTTGACCGAAATTTGTACTACAGCATGCACATAACATACGATTAAAAAGGAACACCTATAGAAAATATTCAAACTCGAGAAACCGTCATGGCTCGCAGAATTGCCAAACTTCAGTTTGCAAGAGAAAAAGTTCTCAAGTGGCGACCACGGGCCGGACTACGTAGTCCCAGTGACCTGACGACCTGATGAAAGCCACAAGCAGCGCAGGACATTTTTCTTTGTGAAAATTATTGGGGTAGAGCCTTTTGTCCCGTTGTAAACTTTTTTATTGTAACTAGCGGCCTCGCGACTTCGTACGCGTGGACCACGTTTTACCCCCTTAGGAGTGGAGTTTCGTAAAATCCGTTCTTAGCGGATGTCTAACACTTAAATAAGGAACCTACCTGCCAAACTTCAATATAGATAAAGAAACGAAATATCGTATTCTCTATGTTGTTTAAACTTTAACTATTTTTTGCAGTGGCCTGTGATCCCGCTGAAGTAGAATTTGTTGTCAAGACTTATCTTGAGAAAGACGACGTCCTCAAATTCACGCAGATGCTCATAGGCAACGGCAGCATCTTTGCCTCAGGTTGGTAAAAATATGGAACTTTAAAACAGTCATGCTTCAACCACACAAATGTGAGCAGATCGCCATCGCGGCGCGATCACGGAGCGATCATAGGGAAATGACAGGTCGCGTGAACTGACATGGGTCTCGCGACCTGTCATTGGCCTTTGATCGCGCCGGCAATGGCAATCTGCACGCGTTTTAGTCAGTCAGTCAGTGACCTGTCGCTATTATACATACACATAGATGACGATTGTTGACTGACTAAAAATTTAAAATAAATTCTAATGTTGTTTGTGTTGCGCACTATTTGTTGTTGATGTTGTTCCTTACTGTAAACTCTATCAACATAATAATTAGTGCGAATGTGTGAAGTAGTTAACAGACGCTGTGAAGTTAGTGCTAATAAACATGGATATTTACGCAACCGTGACCCTGAGTATAAATCAAAGCTCTTCCGGTCTTTGCATTCCAGTTGTGTTATGTTTGTTATGTAAACAATGAATAAAAAAACAAAGTACCAGTTTATCTGTCAGTTACCTGCTATCAGGGACTTTATCAGCAAGTTGAAAAACCTCTAATATTTCAGTGCCAATATGGAAGCCGCGCCGCAAGGTTCTGGCGCCGACCTTCGCACCGAGGAAGCTCAATCAGTATATGCACGTGTTCCAAGAACAAGGAGCCGTGATGGTGGATGAACTCCGCAAGGTGGCTGATAAGGGCAGCTTCTCGATTTGGAAGTTCATGACGACGTACACTATGGACTCTATTTGTGGTAAATAAAGCTCATTTTTAATATTTAAATTATTTGGAAGTCATTTTAGGCCGTTTTCTGACTTGTCGGCGCGGCAGCGGCACGATATCAGCACGCTCGGCATACGTATATTGAGTCAAGTTAGAAAACGGACTTAGGTTCATTATGGACTATTTAACCCGAATCCTAAAGTCACAAAAATAATGATTGCTACTTTGGACATTCGTGGGTTCAGGTGGGATGTTGACACAACAACTGGAGAATTGGTATCGATGAAAATTAATGGTGGTTAATAAGGCATTTACGAACCATTTTTCTTCTGATGAAAAGAAACAGATATTGTCTCTATGTATTTTATCTAAGTAATGTAGAGACAACAAAGCGTATTTAATAAGTAGTACTATCCGTTCGCTTTAAGTTTGCCGCTGGCGATATGACGTCACTCGAAATGAAGCGTCTATAACTTAACAAACTAATTTAAAATATTATTTATTTATTATTATTGATAAAAATTGTGTATTTGCGTAAAATAAGACACATTAATTGCGTTTAATCACTAACTAATTGCGTTTAATCGCGGTTGGGAGAGGGAACGCACATTCCACGGACCGGCAAACTTAGCGCGAACGGGTAGTAGGTGTTACGTTACTTACGTTAGATACTCAACGAAAGTTCGAAGAAAGTGATAGAAGGCAATAAAATCAAGATGGTGTATTACTTTTTCTTTTTTTGGGACTAGAAGCGTAGTGTAAAATGTTCAAGGACATTTATCTAATTTATTTATTATTTTCAGAAACTACACTTGGTTGCAAATTGGGCGTCCAGAGGCAAGGAGACCACCCCTTCCTGCAAAATTTGGCAGAACTGGCCGAACTAATAGCCAAGCGCATGCTGTCGCCTTGGCTGCACTTTGACTTCTCCTTCAAGCTCACCGGCCATTACGATCGGTGTATGAGATATATTAATGCCATCACTGACTTTGTATCTAAGGTGAATAGTGCCCATGATTTTTTTAAACTACATCTATAAAAACGAAAGGTCACTGACTGACTGACTCATGTCTCACTCACTCATCACGAAATCTCAGAAACTACATGTGCTAGGAGTCTCAAATTTTGCATGGAGGTTGCTTTTAGAACTTAGGTGCTCAGTAAGACGGGATTTTGCAAAATTCAACCCCTAAGGGGTTAAAACGGGATCCACGCGTACGAAGTCGCGGGAGGCCGCTAGTTCTGTACTTTAGCTAAAGTGCCCATGAATTTTAAATCTGTCTTAGCATGTTAGATGGGATCGATTTGTGTTTATATCACGTATTGCACTATTGCATGCCCATTAGGAGCAATCTCATCATTTCATTTTAGGGTCGGTTTAGACCAAACGTGCGAAAGCTCATTCTCTAGCAAATTTCTTGTATGTAAACAGATACAAAGCATTCTTTCGTTGTTGTACCTTTTTTGCAAAAATTATAAGAATGCTCGCATATTATGCTCTAGAATCCTAGTTCTCGGGGTGGTTGATATTCACGTGGTGTAAACGGTAAAACGTTCTGTTTACACTAAAAATCAAGAATGAATGCTGTACTCTGATTCTAGTTCTTTGTTTGTTTAGTCTAAACCCACCTCATGAAATTATTCTTAGTAAGTGCCTAGATGCGGTGACGTGGTCAGTAAAGCTGACACCATTTCTCAATTGTTTGCCAGAAAACATGACAGACGGCTGACCTTGTCGGCAACCCACAATCGCACACTTAAATCTGTTAGAAACATTAAATGACTAGGTATTCTACAGTATAAAAGAGACATTATTATGAATACAAAGACCTTAATGCTTGCAATGAAAAATATAAACTTTTTCATGTTAATGTATTTAATGAAAAATGAAACTAATAAACGTGTGTGCAAGCTGACCTTTGGAGTCTACAAATGAATAATTAATTCAAAGAGATTTTAAGTGAGATACAAGATTGTTACTTTTCTTATAATCATTGGAGCCTGTTATACCAAAATACGAGTTCAGTTTAGGTTGTGCGATTTGGAAAGGAACCTTACGTTTAATGATAATTTTCTTTACATAATAAATATAAAACATGAATTTTCCGATTTCAGATAATAAAATCAAGGAGGGCTGCGCTGAAGAAAAATAATAATACGAGTATAAGCGATGGTAGGTGCATTAATTCAATGAAATATGTATTTAAATTAATAATACCTAATACTTTTTTATGAATGAGACTTTTTTTTTAAGTTATAATAAGGGATAAAAATTTTGCCATCCATTCCAACTGTGAACCCAGAACATGACCCTGGTATTCTGCGGAAGTCATTGCTGTTGTAAAGAACGTCTTTAATTACAAACAAAAAAGTACAAAACAAAAGTATAAAAAAGGCAGAGGCAGGGGAGAAACCAATTTATGATAGCTGACTCTCCACTCTAGATCTCAGCTACACAGGAATTGCAGCAAATGAAAAGTGAGCTAAGTTCCGTTTCTGTATCTGACTATCCTTTCAGAGTATACTCCAAAACCATTCTTGGACCTACTGATCGAATCGTCTGGTGGCGCGGAACACGGTTACACCGACAGGGAGTTGCTGGAAGAGTCTCTCGTGATGCTGATTGCCGGCAATGACACTTCAGCAGTGGGGGCTTCGTTCGTAACCGTCATGCTGTCGCAGCACCTTGATATGCAGGAGAAGATTTATAAAGAGTACGTATACAGGACTATTAATAATTCCCACCTCTCGTTCCCACCGCTGCAACTCCTGTGTAGCCAGGACCTACAGCTTGACCGCCAATAAGAACCCAACCAATAATCCACTTACAGAGAAAATACAAAGACAATTAATTACAACTAAATACAATATTACCAACTATTATGCACTACTCATATCGAGAATTAATCAAAGAGCGAATACAAGCTTGAAACTAATTTTATTGCAGAATACAGGAAGTATTCGGTGATTCGGACAGGCCAATCACAGCCGAGGACCTACCTCACCTAAAGTACTTGGAAGCCTTCATAAAGGAAACGCTTAGGCTGTACCCACCAGTACCAATCACGGCAAGGAAAGCAGACAAAGAATGCGTGACCCGTAAGTATCATATGACACAGACATACTGATTATCGCTGGTCCTCCTAGTGGTACATTCTAAGGCACATAGCGTATTTGTTCCTATTTTGGTCAAGATATTACAGGCTTTAATCAACTTGACTATTCGAAATAAAAATGATTCGGAGGACACATTAAAAGCAGTCGCATCAGTCCGATTTAACCGTGACCATAGTTAATTACAGGTTCATACAACAGAATGAAACTGACAGACATTTAGAAGCGTGCTATGTATTATTCACTAGTTTTTCACTGATATACTTTGCAATTTTATTAAGGAGCGGAATAAATTAAAATATTGGTTTTTGAAGATTGGTTGACGCATGAGTTTGCCAACTAATAATTTACGCACGTCAATACCGGGTGGAATCGATAAGTGATCTCACTCGATTATTTCTAAACTATACAAGACATCGAAAAACTGATATTACTGATCCTAAAAGTGGTTCACGAGCTCTATCAAACGGTATCAATAACAAGTTATAGAATAAATTGGATCTATCTGAAAATTTAATCCTACTAATATCCTTCCTACTAATATTATAAGTGCGAAAGTTTGTATGGATGTCTGGATGTTTGTTACTCTTTCACGCAAAAACTACTGAACGGATTTTGAAGAAACTTTACAGTATTATGTTTATAACCCAGAATAACATTATAGGTATAATTTTATGAAGATATGTGACAAACTAAATTTCACGCGGGTGAAGTAACGGGCAAAAGCTAGTATACCCATAATACTATCTAACTAACATTGATAGTACAGCTGCGGGCACAAAACTCATTCCCGGAGTGGGCGTGGTGATCCACATGTGGGCGATCCACCGCAACCCCCGCTACTGGGGTGCAGACGCCGAGGAGTTCAGGCCGGAGCGGTTCTTCGACAGCCCCCCGACCCACCCAGCTGCGTATATGCCGTTCAGCTACGGTTCAAGGAACTGCCTTGGTAAGGAATAAGGATCAAAGGCTTTTTATTCAGTACTTAGGCCCTTTCCAGGGCGCTTATAAAGGGGGACTTTGCAATCAGTATCAATTTTTTTTTTCAATAAGCTCTATAGAACTATTTAAGAATATAACTTTATCCTAAATATTTTTTATCGTGGTATTTTTCGCGAAAAATAATATATTGAAAATCTAATTCGCGGGTCCGCTGTCCATAATTATCTTATATTTTTAAAGTTGTTTCTATCATTTTGTTAAATGTTTTCTTTACGTAAATCGATTAAGTTACTGATTCTGAGTCGCTCCTAAAAATTTGGATACTGATTATAAAATCAGCCTGTATACCTCCCAAATAGCTTGCCCACCACTTCTGGACAATTATGGGCTGGTGCTGAGAAGACGTGACGGAAGAAACTCAGCTGTCCAAAGCCCAACGGGTTTTTATATCGGAGTATAGATCAGAAAGTGGAATATTATTGTAAGCGCCTGATTTATCAATCTCCGTTTGATGTTTGATGCACACATACGAGTATGCTATGACACAATTTAGAGAAAAGATCAACACGTACTCTAATCTGTAATTAAATAAATGTTATTGTTCGTTCACGCAAAAACTACTCATCGGATTTTGGAGATACCTAGCTACAGATAACTTTAATCGAACTTAGTCACGTAAAACTAAATGTACCTACCTTTCCGTAACAAACGCATTTTGCCAAATAGATGCTTTAGCCGACTTTTAGTTGGCCGATAGTTTGTTGGACCGATTCTAATTTGTATGAAGAATCGGTCGATACCGAATCGGTATAATGTGCGCACTTTCATACATCACCATACTGATCAACAGCCCAATCCAACTATCGGCCTAAAGTAATTAAGTATTCCATGATTTAATTTCAAACAATAACAATTTCGCTGTAAATGTTTGAACTGTAAGACATAAGAAATATGGGCCTAATACTATAATAAATTACATTCCAGGTTACCAGTACGCGATGATGTCTATGAAGACCATCATCACATCACTCGTGAGGGAGTACAAGGTCCTGCCCGCTTCAGGGACCAGTAGTAAGGAGCCTCTGCGATTACAATACGACGTCATGATGAAACATGTTGATAACTACGAAGTCAAACTGCAGACCAGAAGTAATTGAGGAGAAGGAATGAAGACAATAAAAAGAAGGAACAATGAAGACTCGAAGATACTCCACTAGGAGTTGTGGTCATGCATTAAACGGTTTGGTGATATAAAATGGTGATATCATAGATAGTTTTGAAAAAATGATGCTTTAATAAGTTAGTATTTTACAAGCCAAGAGCCGAGATCAATATAAAAAGCCTATTTAAATTTTTCAAGCAAAGATGCATGTGGTAAACAATTTAGTAGCTAGTACAGAACAATTATTATGGTGCATTTAAGTATAATATTTAAGTAGTAGATGCTTTAATTTTGAAAATAGCTAGATAGATAGTTAGGGAAGTACTCGTATTTTGTAAACTCAAGTACCTAAATGCATTAATGTATGATCGTTTCTTAAGGAATCTCAATGTTTACAATGAACACTATTGCATTTTCAGGAATATTTTTTTATGTGAAACATCACAATAAAATTGATGACATTTGGGTCAAATTGTTTTGTTATATTTATTTTTAGTACCAAAGTGAAAATAAAAACCGAGCCTTACTTAACTTGATTGATAAATTGTTATGAAAAACCCCTTTCTTAAAAAGGCTAACGCATCTGTTAGCCCTTCTACCGATAGTGATGTCAATTTTTTGGCTGTGGTTATAATAGTGACGGAGTTCAGTGAATACAGTGAAAACATATTATGACATTCAAAAACCTATGGTTTCGTTGCCACAATGTACGCGGGAGGTGCGATTTATTTGATGTAGAGTACATTAAATAAATCGCACCTCCCGCTACAAGCACTTTCAAACGTATGCATCCCCACTTCCCACCAATATTGACACCATTTAAAAGCCTAGTTCTAAACTTCATTTCATTAAAGGAAAGGTTTTTACACTTTTACCTTAAAAATGTGTCTTTCTAAGGATGGGGCACCATGATTGTGTCAGAAGAAAATCTTTAAAGTTCGCGTCGCGGAAGGTGCGATTTATTTGATGTTGAGTGTAGTTCAGTCGTGTTAAAGTTAATGTTGACTTTATTTTGTGACCATACATTTGTGGAGCTGGTGATGACGAAAATCGATCAAAGGTTTAATAAAGAAAAAAACACAAAATACACTTCCAGTTCCTTTAACTCGATATGGAACTATCTCGATAAAAAGTCGATAACCACGCATCCATGCGTGAATATGCAAACACCTATTTACAGCAAAAAACCACCACCTGTATCTGCGGTTATAGTAGTCATTAGGTATTACGAAATAGGGTTCAAATTGCTAGTTTCACTTGTGAACGTAACGATTTCCGTATGCTGGGAATCTCGTAGTTCCCGACTTAGACGAGTATGCTGTAGGTTGAAGCCAGGGGTTTAAAACTTGGAGCTTTCTTGTTTTTAGTAAAAACTCGAAACAATCGTTTATTTTCAGCAAATAAAAAAAACTCATACAACTCATTTAATTTTGCAAATAGGCTTTTAAAAAGCACTTTTACACGTCCCAGTATTAACCCTACCACTGCTTCGGGACAATAAAAGGGCCAGTGCTGAGAGGAAGCAGCGCAAGAAACTCAGTCACTATTGTCAGCCTCCTTTTCAAGGGTTAAAATAGTTGGTTAATGAACCCTTGTGTATATTTTTAACATAATATGTGCTCAGTCTTCTTCCCTTTACCTACTCTTTCCCATATTTTGCTTGCATCAAACCCGACAGAATTGGTTTCTAATGCTTTCAGAAAAACAGGATTTAATTCGGCAGGAAAGATGTTAATATGTGAGTGCAGGAGGCATTGTTATTATGTTGGCTACACCTTGAACCTTGTTAAACGCTTATGGGAACTCATAGGTTTGACATCACGGTTATTTAAGCAGTTTCAATAGCTGTTTATGGAACCTATGAGCTCAGAAAATAAAAGAAGACTATAATCGCAGCCTATCACAAGAAAATAAAGACCTAGATCCTAGATAATTACGCATGGAAAATACTCCTTCAGGACACATACTTATACATATCCCAAATTTTAATATACTCGAAGTTTTCCTCACCAACAGTTTGGGAAAACGTATCGGATGTTGCTGGGATAAAATGACGGAAAATTTCAGTCACCTTTGTCAACCTTTTGTGTGGAACTATAATAAATTAGAACAGCATATTTCAATTTATTTTTTGTACTTAATCTTGAGTTTCCGATATTTTCGGCACTGTTGCAAGCGCCATGGTCACGGAGTAAGTAACTGAGGAAACTTGCGGGTGAGATGTTATGGGCAGACATATTGGTCTACCCTCTTTCATGGTAGCATTCCTGTCAGTAATAATAATTATGTTAGTGACCATGAAAGTTTAAATCACTTATTTTTATTGTGCCTAGACTAGTAAATAGAAAAATATAAAATAGTGCAACGGATTCAGCACACCTGGCGCAGTTCAGGCGAGTTCAGTCAACCCTCGCGCTCCCGTCGGCGCGCGCGCACTCCTGCGCAGGACAGGCTGGCGCGAGCTCATCGTCAAAGGTAAGCTATATTTTAGCTATATTACATTATCTCTTACTAATTTTTCAAAAATATCCAGTTTTTTATAAGAGCGCTTTCACATTAGGGCGTTAGAAGCGCGACAGCAGCGCGGCAGCGGCGTTTTAGTAATGCGAAGGCATGCATCTGTCACATAGTATGACATTTTCGGCAGCGCGTCTGTCGCGCGTTTGTCGCGCTACTAAATCGCCTAAATGTGAAAACGCTCTAAGAGAGTGATTGTTCATGAGTTCACAAGTTATATTTACTGCATAAGATAGGAGCAGTCAACCTCTAAAGTAAAACCATTTCTATGCATTTTTTTAAATGTAAAATTAACTTTAGGACCCAGAAGTGATGTCCTATCTTAAGACCCAAGTGTTTCTTCTTAATATTTAAGTAAGGTGATTCAATGGGTAATGCCTAAGATCCCTTTAAAATTGTAAATATCCGATTTGCGTGATTCAAATTAAAATTTAATTATTTTATTCTCATAGCAATAGTTTAGCATATAATTTAGCATAGCAATTAATACTACGGTTTTTGATGGATGGATTTGGTTGGGATTAGCAATCTGTTCATAGAGAGATGATGTGTTGCTTTGCTTTTTGTAAGTCTCCAAAAGTCGAAGTCAAAAAATTGTAAATACTTGAAGTATTGTTTGTAAAAAGTGTGATCTGCCGTGAAGTTCAGCATAAAATTTAAATACTCAAGTTAATAAACGCAAAATTTAATAAACTTGCAAACCAAACCAGTTTCGTACGTGCTGCAAATAGGAATCGATTTTTCTGGAGTGTAATAGTGGAATTTTTCGAGTATAAAGTCGTGCATTACTACAACAAACAAGCTAAATCTCGTTTCCTTTTCATGAGAAAGTAGCAACTTTTACGTTAATCCAGTTGTCCCAAAACTGCATTCAAGTCTATTTCGGTGTCATTCAATACTTTCCCCTCTTATTTAGTTCCAATTCGTTTGCTGTTACTCCTACGATGTGAAAATGAGTCTACTGTCCTTCTACAGATGCAGTGCTTCATCTGTGTGACGTACATGATCATACTGTGCAGCGCACACCCAGCCAAAGACAAGCAAATAGCGGCACCTCACCAGAAAAAGTCCCTATTCCGTGACGTAATCGAATCGTTAAGAATTCGCGCCCAACTACCAGAAGATTTCAACCAAAATGAAGACAACAATCTGTCCCAAAACTACGATAAGTACGGATACGACAACGAACCACCACACTTGCCGAGCGACGCGGACTTTATCCCACGAAGAAACGACAGAATCGAAATGCCGACTCTACCTCTAAAATACCGTTTTCCCAAAAGCTTGAACGACACAGAAGAAAAAGTGGTAAATGTAACAACCGAGGAAATCGTTCTTTTCGTAGATACAGACAAAATTACAAAGACAACTCAAAAGCCAAAGAAACAAAAGCGTCCACCGACGTCCAACAAAAATAAAGTCGTGAACAAAAATAAAGAGAATGAAGACCAAGAAGAAGAAACTCAGACACCGTTACAAGATAATATGACGCCTGTGTCGAATACTTTAAGTGGCAATAGCCAGATCGGCAACAGAGAATCTCAAACTGTGGTCAAACCAACAGTCATTGTTAATTTTAGGGGTTCTTTGACTCATCAAGATAGTGATATCCGTCTCGAGAAAAGGAATGATAACGATACGGATCGTACCGCTCAGAACATCTTTAATATTAACCAAGAAGTAAATTTTGAGCCTGTTAAGAAGGACGGTAAGAAAGGCTCGAAACCTAAAGTGGGTGACGTGAAGCAAACATTCAATATAGTAACTGATGTCAAAGCCAAAGTAGAAGAGGACATGTTAATGTGTGAGACAGCCACTTGGAACCCAAAGAGAAATGTTCGCGAAGGTCGCAAAAGAGATAACGTGTTGCAAATTTTATTTTCTTTATAATTAGTGAAGGTTATCTGTCTTAGTTTGATAAGCAATTAGAAAGTTAAAGTTTGATGCATTCGATCACGAAATAGACGAGCTTAATTAGGTGATAAATATGTATGTCGTGGAGATGGATGGTGTCAGTTATGATTTACGAGTATGTATGGACGTGAATGTATAATGTAAGAGCGTCATAATTATAAACTTTTATTCATATTCTGAATTGTTTAAAGATAAGCTTTTAAGAACTGAACGGTCAGTGTAGGTTAGTTTATAAATAGGCAAAGTTAAATACAATTGAGAATTAATTACATATCACTTCCAATGACTATATTTTTACTTTAAAGTTATTGATTAAGATACAAAAGCATTTGACATTAATTACTTATTCCATGGCTTTAGATTTATAACTTGCTAGCATACTATGTAACCTATAATAATAAATTTATAGATGTAATTAAAACATCGCAAACTGAATATGACATTTTAATTACATAGTGTTCAATTATACTCAGAATTATTAATAGTTGTATTAGCTTTTAATAGGAATATAAATATTTAGTTGTAATAATAGCTGTACGGGCAATAATTATGACTTTGTGATAGTTTATTAGTAAACAGCAATGCTCTAGATTATTAATAAAGTTTTCAAATGTAACCCATTCTTTTTTTGTGACCTCATTATTAAATTATGTACATTATTAAAAGCTCCAAACAAGTCGAAACAATATTACAGTAACACACACCACATCCACAATGAACGGTCCTGCGCTGCCCGCATCCAGCCAGGCTCTTCCCGCGACCTTTACAAGATCGTCGTCGGTCCACCTAGTAGGAGGCCTGCCCACGCTACGTCTTCCAGCCCGTGGTCGCCACTCGAGAACTTTCCTGCCCCAACGGCCATCGTCTCTACGAGCTATCTAGCTAGCCCACTGCCACTTGATTTTAGCAATTCTGCGAGCTATGTCGGTTACTTTGGTTCTCCTGCGGATCTCCTCATTTCTGATTCGATCACGCAGGGAAAACCTTGGGGGAGGCCTTTGTCCAGCAGTGGACGTCATTTGGCTGAAACGAACGAACGAACGAACACACCACATACATCAACAAAACCATTGTGCCACTTAGTTTAAAAACTTTAAAGTGGCCGTGTCCTTCAAATATTGTATGATTCATGCATAAACTAAACCCCTATTAAAATAACTATCCGAGCAAATCTGATGTAGCAATTAGTTTGATCAAAGAAAAAAGGGGCAGTTCAGGTTGATGACCACGTAATATAAAACGGACTAAAAATAAAAGTCAGTGCACAAAGTATTCTCTTTATCTTATTTTATGATTGTTGATCTATAACTGATGAAATTTGGACAACACTATTAAATAGTTTAATTTAAATAAATAGTTTTGTTAAAGCTTAACAATATCGTATCGGAAAACGCAGCGACGATATCGTAAAGGTAGCAGGGAAGCGCTGGACGCAGGCCGCTACCAATCGATCAACGTGGAAAGCATTGGGGGAGGCCTATGTTCAGCAGTGGACGTCCTTTGGCTGAAATGATGATGATGATGATAACAATATCCAAGACACATGATTTAAAGTTAGGAACTATTGCTAGTGACTGTGATATGATTATTTTATGTTACAGGCAAATAAGGCTCTTGTCGTAAGCAATTTTCAAAATAGCCATCCATAATTTGATTTATTTAGAACCATAAGAAGTGCTATAAGTAGCAACTAGGGATGTTATGGATATCCGTAAATACCGGTTGATGAAATAATAAATCTTTAGATAGAAATAAACTTGGTTTTATTTTATCAAAGTAATTTAACAAAAGAAACGCGCACACCGTGACCATAGACCGGAGAGAGTAGAGATGTCCCATAGACAACACAAAACGAGTTGCGTTCACACTTCATCATGCTCCCCTTTAATATTATTCCTATATCCGTAACCGTATCCATAACCGAAACTATATGTATATCCATAACATCCCTAGTAGCAACAGGAAACTGTCTCCAATCTACCCAAGTTAAGTCATAATAACCACTTCGATAATTTCTTCGATGACTCAGGAAGGTCCAAGATGCTTAAGGTAGTTGTAAATCCCTTATTTGGTGTTGATGGTCTAACCCGTTACTGCCCCACTGGGCCCACTGCTTTTCCTAATAGAGGTAACCTTCAAATGTTAATAAAAAACATTTAATAGGGTATTTGATGTCTTTTAATAGCATAAATTATAAATACAAGGCATTTGATCTAGTTTTCGAGTTAAGTTTATGGAAAGAACATAAATTTTATAACATAACGTCTTGTTATGATTCATTGCGATTTTCAAAAGAGATAATCTCTAAAACAATGCTGCATTTGATCATCAATGATCATGGTTTATACCACTATAGGAACTAAAGCAGAAATAAATAAAATGTAAACCAATTGGAAGATGTGATTCGGGCTAATGTAGACCAAAAAATTAAATGTTTTAATGATTGTTTTTAATACTTTTCTCTGAGTCAAAAGCGAAGGCCTTTTGCCACAAAGAACAGTTTGCGTTTTTATAAATTAAAATAATAACAGTACTTTTACTACAGCGAGAAAAAAGTGCAAGTTTTTAAGCGCACCAATTTACATTTATGATGTTCTTCCTTCGCGAAGAATTGTTTATGGCCAATAATACTTTTTGTGCGAGCTTTAAGCATTGAAATCAGTTATTTTATATACTGATGTCGCTTACTGGTTTTGTAAGTTCGAAGCATTTTATTATGTCTTCATACATTTTTATTTAATTGTAAAATCACTGGCTTAATTCAGCTACAGAAGCGTTTCTGTGCATGCCGAGGATTCAAAAATGTAAAGACAAATATTATAGTTTTCTAATTGTAACGTCCTTGAAGTTAATGTAGGCAGTGTAGCTATGTTTGCTTGGTTTGAAACGACGAGTATTTAGTGGATAATAATAGGTTGTAAAGTAAGCACTCTACTACATATTACTTTTAGGATCAACTTTAATATGTAGAGACTTAGCTTTCTTTATTTGGAGCCCGATCTATGAAATCAAAAGTGCAGATTGAATTCGCGTTTCTAAACTACAAGATAAATGGTTTATAGTGTTTGTTTCGTTTCTCTTTCAAAGAACAATGTACTCGGACATCAAACGAGCATCAAACCCTTCATTTGAAATGGAATTTTCACACGTAGGTACAATGCTTATTTAGACAAACAAACGAAACTAGTTTACGATGGACAGGTCACTTTCTTCACTTTAAACCTTTGTTACAAGCCGTTGCACTAAAGTGTTTTAAAAATAGATTTTAAATTAAACCTTTCACATAAATTATTAAGACGTTTCTCGTTCCATAATAAAGTTTTATAAAAGTAATAAGATTGTTTAACGCGTGTTCTTCTAACAGACAATTCTTTCCCTAGTTTAATGTATAAATGTCATAATAAATAGTAATTGTAAACATACCACGTACTTTTGTCTGCATAGTAAGAAACCCCTATTGTATCATATCGGAATCTTAGGAGTCAATTTACAATTTTATTTTAAGTTTTCCCTAGACCACAACTTTTTTAAGGTATTAAGTATAATAATTAATTCTGACTAAATATTTTAATGAAGTCTTAATCCATAATGATTTACTTTATGAATTTAAATAGAGTTAAGAAAAACTGCCGGATATCAACTGTCATAATATTTAATCTGTTATTGCTATCTCCATTACATTTTTATTCACACCGTATGTTATTAATCGTATACGACACCTAAAATCCTATTAGGTACGAGGGGCGGCTGAAAAGTTTTGAGCCTAGGGTATTAAAAATGCCGATAGAAAAGTATAAAAAATATATTTTTCTATTTAATCTCCCTCTACTACAACGGACTTATTACATTTGTGTAAAAGAGCTTTTAACCCACTGAAAAAAAATTCGCAATCTTTGCCTTCGAAATGAGCCTTTAACGCCGCCATCATTTCTTTGTCACTCAAAAATCCTTGTTCCTGGAGGACTTTTTTCCAATTTGAGAATTACACAAAATAGCTAGGGATTCGGACTAAACTGTGTGATAGGTGATTAATTTCTTGAAATCCAGTTTTACCCGGGGCAAGCCTTGTAACATGCGTGGTGTGCGCGGGCGAATTGTCTTGAAATAACAGATTTCCTTTCGCCAGTTTGCCTCTTAATATTTCAACAACCACTTGACGCACTCTTATCAACAGTACAGCATAATAATCCCCGTTTATTGTAGTTTTTTTAAGTAGATAGTCAATGAATAAACTTCCTCCACAATCCCAAAAATAGTGGTTATGAGCTTGGGTGTCGATCGCTCCACTTTGAATTTCCGCGGCGGCGTTTTCCCTTTTGAATCCATTGCATTGACTCTTATTTTGACTCTAGATCGTACTGCCGGATCTATTATTTATCAATAGTGACAATGTGAGAAAAAAAATTGTTAGGATTATGGCCAAAGATGTCCTAAAACTCCTGCGAAGTTGTGACTCGACGCTGGTTGTCGAGCGGCGTGAGCATTTTGGCACCCATAGCGCGCACCCTTATTTCATGTGCAAATGAGTATGAAAAATATCGCCGATACGTTCCTTGCTAATGCCTATGGCTTCAACTATCTGTCACAGCTTAATTCGCTGATCTCTAAAGCAAGATTCTTTAAATTTTCATTATTTTATTCGTTAATGGCGAAATCTGGCCGCCCTGACTTGTGGTCATCTTTTAGCGACTCCCTGCCATGCTTGAACTATCGGATCCAATCTTTCATGATGGCAAATGAAGGCCCAGACTCCCCATAAACTGTAGACATCTCTTCAAATGTTACCGTCAGCGTTTTGTTCCTCTTTTTGAGGATTTTTATAACAACTGTGTACTTCAATTTCGTACATTGCGCGGATGACTGAGACATGATGATGTTTACGAATTAATTACTAAAAGCGTGATGACGCTAATGAAATGAAACTTTGTACATATACTAAGGAGGTTATTGGCAAATTAATTAAATTTAGTGCGAGTCAATAATAACACTTGAAGATACTTAGGCTCAAAACTTTTCAGCCGCCCCTCGTATATCTAAATCTATGGATACTTATTGTCATAGATTTTTAAGTTTACTTAATTTTGAGGTCCTGGTTCGAATATAGGTATGTCAAATGGAAAATCGCACATACATACTCGTATATTTTTTTCAGGTCAACAAGAAGAATTCCTTGTATTAATATACAAGTTTGTAATGAAAATATCAATAAATATAGCAGACCTAAAACATCTCGAAACATACTAAACATTAAAAAATTTGCATGATACATTTTTAACGAATTTCTAATCAATGTCGCTCTCATAATTTCCATGTAAATGTATTAAATTGGTTGTGGAAAGGAAACGAAGAACTGTAACAGAATTTATTGGTTCATTAAAGATGATCAGGCTGCGTTTATCGGTGTCAAATAGTTTTATGGTGGTGGCCAAGTTTATGGCAATTGCCATATTAAAAGTTTTTTTAAAAGTCTTGAGCAAAATACAGTTTTGTTAATCTAAACACCTATAAAAAAACACTCACAACAAACTTACAATAATAAAGGCTGTTGCCTTATTTATACCTCACGAGTTAAACAAATAATTTGTTAATAATTTAAAAAGTACTTACCTTGTTATCAATAAAATTGTAGAGCACATTATTTACTGTCGCAGATTACTGTTTGTTTGAAATGTTTAAATTAATCGAAGTCAGCTTTGCTATGCTATTATGCACTTTGCACTCTTTCGGTCATTATGCTTAAAATGACACAATAAGGTTCTCCAGTTCTTTACAAATCCTGTATAACTTAAAGAGTTCAAAGATGAAATTAATATTTTCTATTAATTGTAATGATATAAATGTTTATACCAATTTATAAACATTTTACGAGCGAATAACCACGATATTAGCAATACGATCACCCACATCAAGATTTCCGTTACCATAAATTACCGCAGCAAATTTTCTCACGTCCAATTTTGTTTTTTATCGATAAATCAAGTCCGATACATCTTAATGGCTGCCGAAACCATTAGTATCGATATGAAATCGGACCTACAGCGATATTTGGAGCAACGAGTCAAAGTCAAGTTCAAGACTACGAGTGTTAGCGAGGTGTAAACATAGTTTTGTGCGTATATCGATAAAAAAGTTGAGAAATTGTGTGCTTACCTTTTGGTGCTTTGATGCTTACAGCGTGCTGTCACCTCAAGTCCAGTTTCAGGTCACCGGTCGCTTGGATCTGGATAGATAAAAAAAATATTTTAACAAAATAATTTTAATAATTACATTTAAAAATACTCAAACAAAGATGTGTGACAGTTCACGCTAATGTGTTATGCTGTAAATAATTTTGCTATGAACATTGTTTTTCAGATACTAAAAAGGACAATGTGATTGGATGCTAAGGAGTTCCTGTGTTTGAAATTATGATGACGATGATGACATAGGGTTATTTTTATCCCAGCATGTCAAAAATTCCAAATAACAAATATTTCACGTTAAACACAAGATAATTTCAATGTTTTGCATATGATACTGTTAAATGTTTCAACTCCATCAAGCCTAAAATAAACCCGTGACTCAGATTTACGTTTATTTATAAAGATAAGAGATTAAAATAAAGTTATTCATGTTTACAACGCCATTTCAAGCATTGTGCTTATACGAAAGTAGGTTACCTATTCTACAATACACACCTACACTTTGCATCGTTGTTTTGTGTTTATACACTTAATCCTTTAGAATTCTTTATGAACAAATAAACATTTTATTAGAAAAACTGGTCACATTTATTACAGCTTTAAAATTTCAAATACTGACCTGACGAATTGACAAAAAGCGATAGTGAAAATTGATTAATAATGTAAACACTAATATGACAAATAGTTTTTAATTAGATACTCAGGATTTACTTTCGAATTTCACATCCCTGATAAAGTACTATGAGAACTCATCATTCTTATAAAAAAATATGTTACACGTATCTGGAACTCTATTCTTATGAAAAATTAAAATTGAATGAAACGTATTTAAAGTAAATACTTACCTATAATGTATAATTACATAAAGTATCATTTTGAAATATATGTACATAGATAAGTCGCAGTTACCCTATACATCAAAAGATTTTATTGATTTTTGGCCACAACTCATGATAATGACATTAAATGTTCCAAATCGTAGAAAATATCCAGAAAACATCGTTAAAATCCAAAAAACTGTAAGCATGATGCCCAATAACTGTTCTAAAAACGTTCTCGAAAGCAAAAAATGTAACAAAGTAACAAGTCGCGCCAAAATTCCGTCGAGAAAGTGAAAGGAGGTAGGGCCCACGCGGACTTTAGCAAAAGCTGCGCAAGCGCCGGCAGATCCGAACTCGCTGGACGGACGCCGGCCAGGACGCACGCGCACTAAACACCCACGAAACATCGATACTCATCCACAACTTTATCGAAGAAAAGAAGAAGAAGACCCACGACATAGTTTCATCGACAACAGAGATGGCGCAACATTACTTTGGATTCGTGGTAAGTGAAAATAATAATTTTGATAATAGGGCAGTTAGAAAGTGACAATGGGAAGAAATGGATTAAGTAGGCAAAAACGAACAATAGTGCTAATAGAGGTATGTGAAGATGGTAATGTTATCCAAATAGAAAAGTTAAAAAACTTTTTGTAATTTTAGTAATATTGAAGAACTGTCTTCCGGTTAAAACAACAATAATAAAAGCCATGATCTATGTAATCTTGAAAAGCATACTCCGAGTAAACTCAAAAATTACAGTCTTTCATGAACTCTATAAAACTAGCGCTTTCCTATCATTTCGTATTCTCTTTTATATTAAAATCAAATCTCAATCTTGAACAATATTGTAGTTTTATAATTTGACCGCCCCAATGTCCCAATTTGCATTCTCTATGATAATAACTGCATGTATTTAATAATTTTAATAGACGCATTACTCCAATGCACTGCTGGGCCGAAGTGGTTAACCTTTAGGAATAATGGGGACCTGACAAAAACACGATCGACCAGATTAACAATTCGTATCTAGGAGTAGAGCGGAAAAATCTGAAGATTTTTAAACAGTATACACAAAGTTTTTTTTATCCACAACGAGGAAGCTCTTGGCCTGAATCTCCCCTGATGGTCTGATGGTAAGTGACGATCAGGCCGAAGCTTCACCCGGAATCCTCAACCACGGAGGAACTGGCTATCTTACCTCTAACTGCCGGAACACAATAATGCAGTTAACATGTGGTAGCTAGCCAGGCGGACTTAGAAAAAGTCCTACCACCAACCAAACCGAACAGAAAAATCTGCCCCCACTGGGAATCGAACTCGGGACCTCTGCGTCTGAAGCAGGTGGTCTTACCACTAGACCATAGAGATGGTTAACATATTTCAATCCACATTTTCCAACACGTTGCAAACAAAAGCAAAAAAAAGCAACTTTTTTGTAAAAAAAATAAACGGAGTAAAAATCAAGTGGAAACAGTAGATAGCCTTAAAGTATTCTACGAGTATATCTGCTATTATTTTAAGTACTAACATCGTCATACTGTATCATTACAGCAAAAGATCTACCTTGTTTTATTGTTTCTTTTTCTGACTGTCGACATCTTTATTTTATTTTTCTCCGTCTACAGAAAAGCTAAATTAGAGTCTAGCCCACCGTAATCATTGCAAATGATGTTACATACTCGTACTTAAAAACATGTAAACAAGGTGGTAATTAATAACAAAACCAGACTGGGCACATTTTTATTAACAGCTTTGCCAATATTACTAAAAGGTCGAACCTTTTGTAAACAGGACATTTAGAACTTTATGATGTGACCACAAAAGGGAATCAAATTGTCAAATACCGCTACTTATCTGTATGACGCGATGATTTACAGCTTTCCAAAGATGAAGGCAAATCTAACAACAAATTGCATTGAAATCCATCAAACTGATGTTAAAAGAGTAAAATACAATACTGCTCTCTCTTTTTGAGTAAAATGGTAGTTTAATGCAAGAAAAGGGACTTAATAAAGTAGTATATTTACATTCAGATTTTTTCAAAGTTTTTCACATTCTTCGAGGATTTTTCTGGGTTATTTTTACGTTATAATACACGTAGCAAAAATAAGCTGCTCTACAATAATCTATAAATAAAAAACCTGCGCAAAGAATAACATTTTCTTTATTGGGGAAAGTAATTAATATTTCAGGCTCAGCTTCAAACTTTCAACGCGCACCACAAACACTAGTTCATAATTCTCAAGTAGGTAATTTAAGCGGAACATGCACGCACATAATTTAAGATAAACAATCAACACAGTCTCTTCACTAAATAAGATCTCCGCTATGATAGAACAAAAACACGTGTCATAAAACACATTAGCCTCTTTCGCGATGACGGGTAACGCCCAAGACGGGCACACGACTTTCCATAGCTGGATTAGGGACAACTTTATAGACTAGCCTTTGGCCCCGACTCCTAATGTGTTAACATTTTATCTGTCAAAAATACTTCACACATTTTCCTGAAAAAAAAAACAGAATCTTTTAAATTATTTAATCTTGAAATGAGAGTCCTATCGCTTCTGTCAAACTTGTTTTACTTTAGCTTATCTGTCGCAGTGAGAAAATCCTGGGACTTCCCTTAGATTTCAGTCTAGATTAGAGCCATAGATGCCTGAGGCGGTAACAAACTCATGAATCATAATTAAATCTATACATATAATGAATCATTATAAAATCTGGCAGACCTGTCTCTAATTATACTGCCGCTAGTTATAAGTCTTAACAAATGTTGTGTCACCATTTAAGTTTATAAAACTTGTGATAGAATGAGACTGCTCTTCTGTTAAAAAAGCTAATTATAACATTAAACACATTCAAATTCGCTAACGATTTGCGACTTTACTAATTTGAGTAACTGTATCTACGTCTCCGATTTTGCCGTACTGAAATCAATACTAAAAAATTAAATTGCCTAGAGGCACTATTATGTGTAATTGTCTGCTCAATTAGTCAACAAAACTTATTACAAATCGTAACTAATTGAGCTGTAGTCAATCAATAGGCAAGCAAATATGTTTTTTATCGGTGTTCAACACAACTGTACCGTGATTTAGGTATGTAGAACAAAAACAAGCACTGTACATCGGAGCACAATAGGCACTTCCATATTTGAGAAGTTTGTCGACCTTACAACCTCGTGACCCCCAAACTTGTGAAGACAAAAGAGGATATTAATCATAAATCACACACAAAAGGTAACATACATGCAAAAAGTCGATAAAGATGAAAAATTGAAGATTTGACGAGACTTCTTGACGGGAAAGTGAAGCGTCATGTTTGTAGTTTGTAGTTTTATTTTTCCGAATAATAAAAAAAAAATAGAAAGATTACCGATAAAAGTCCACATGAAATTGCAGTAAAATGCTACATTACTTGAATTTAAGTAGGTATTCACTTGAAATAATTTTCTTGATACTGGCAATAATATGCAAATCAGACGAAGTCATAATGAAAGAAAAAAGTGCGAGATAAGTAAAGGTTAAATCCCCTGGTTAATTTTAAGGATTAAATATGGGAACAAAAAGTAGCTAGTTGCCAGTAAAGTCAAAGAGAAAAAAAACTGACTTCTAGGAATTGCAACTAAATAAGACATTATTCCACTTAAGCCACGAAATAAAACCAAATACTTATCTGATACTTTATCCCAGAATAAATTGAATCTGAAACTTTGCTTCCACGACTTCAGCTGGTAATCATCACGTAACATAATTCCTAATGGGAATCAAACCCGTATACGCAGCTGTTGTTAAACATAATGCACGTCAAATCATCAAGCTATTAATACTGGTACAAAAACAATTGAACGAACAACAGAGCATTCTAAAACCCTGAAAACGACAGAGAATGTACTTTTAGTCAAAAAAAAACAAAAAACAAAAAAGCATCATATAAAATACTCTGCTCAGTATCAAAATCAATCCGAACAAGATCAGATCAAAGATTCCGCCGTAAATTGCCACTTACTCTAAATGAGATAAGTTCAAACCAGAAGATGTTAAGCTTCAGTCAAACCAACGCGATCACACGCGATCAGCCGGCGTGCAGCGATGGCGATCAGACTTAAGGTTCGGCCAAACCAACGCGATCACACGCGATCAGCTGGCGTGCAGCGATGGCGATCAGACTTAAGGTTCGGCCAAACCAACGCAATCACACGCGATCAGCTGGCGTGCAGCGATGGCGATCAGACTTAAGGTTCGGCCAAACCAACGCAATCACACGCGATCAGCTGGCGTGCAGNAGCTGTGTGGACCGCACGATGCAAACTCCCGCCCACCGTCTTCCTCACCGCGTCCGACCATCTCGTCGGTGCCCTGCCCCGAGCGCGTCCCCCTTCATACTGTATGATACTTAGGTTACACAAAAAGTATCTTTATCTTCAAACGCAACCAGATCTGAGCCTGGTGGCCATAGTAAATGTTGTTCGTCTTGGTAAGACCTTTCAAATGACACTACAAACATTACTATTGGAGCCGGGTACCATTCTGCAAAAAAGTATGTATATCTTCGTACACAACCAGATCTGAGGCTGGTGGTCATAGTAAAAGTTGTTCATCTTAGTAAGACCTTTCAAACGATACTAGACTCATATCTATTGGAGCCGGGTACCATTTTGCCCATTGTCCTTTAAAGACAGTAAAATTCAAAATTCATGTCAAGGGTGTACAACCTAAGTCGTAGTCATTATCATCAGTGTTCTTCAGTGGTTTTTTCCTCTCGCTAGGGCGGTGGGCATCTCTTCTAGAGCAACGGTGCTATGAATACCCAAAAAATTACCGGTGATTGATTTCCGATGTTTGATTATTTAAGAATGAAATGTTTTTTGGTTTTTAATAGTGAACATTTAGAAAAACGTATAACTTGACTTAAATATGTTAAAAAATTAGTTAGAAAAAAAATTTGTTAAATATGTTAAAAAATTAGTTTTAATTTAATATGACATTTGTCGATATGTCCCAACACTAACATTTTTGTAACTCGAGATAACCTTGTAGAGACGTCGTTAATACTCTAGCTTGATTTTTATAATTTCGAATTACTAATTATTGGTATAATTTAACGCTGCATTTACACGAAATTATCATTTTTATTGGAAGCACTGTCGTCGAAAATATTGTTTGTAGGTCAGACGTGAATTATTTCTTGTCCGCTAATATTTAGCTCTCATTGAACGCTACTACAAAGTTATGTCGTTACTTTTGATGACAGCTGTCATTCTAATCAAGCTATATTGGATAGACTATAGTTGCCAGTAAAGTCAAAGAGAAAAAAAACTGACTTCTAGGAATTGCATTAAATGTCAACTTCATTTTACAGTTCGCGTAGATAAGACATTATTTCACAAGCCACGAAATAAAACCAAATAAGTACTTATCTGATACTTTATCCCAGAATAAATTGAATCTGAAACTTTGCTTCCACGACTTCAGCTGGTAATCATCACGTAACATAATTCCTAACGGGAATCAAACCCGTATACGCACCTGTTGTATAACATATGCACGTCAAATCATCAAGCTATTATTATACTGGTACAAAAACAATTTAACAAACAACAGAGCATTCTAAAACCCTGAAAACGACAGATAATGTACATTTAGTTAAAAACAATTTAAAATTAAAAGAAAAACAAAAAAGCATCATATTAAATACTCTGCTCAGTGCTCACTATCAAAATCAATCCGAACAAGATCAGATCAAAGATTCCGCCGTAAATTGCCACTTACTCTAAACGAGATGAGTTCAAACCAGAAGATGTTAAGATTCAGTCAAACCAACGCGATCACACGCGATCAGCCGGCGTGAGGCGATGGCGATCAGACTTAAATGCATTGATCGCCATCGCTGCACGTCGACTGATCGGGACTATTCCCACCTCTCGTTCCCACCACTGCAACTCCTGTGTAGCCAGGATCTACAGCTTGACCGCTACAAAAACCCAACCAATGAAGGTCAAGTTTGTCCCGGGGAAAGTTAAACTGTCATTGGATCCGCAACGATATTAATCAGAAGAACATAGGAGGAGTTCGAAATTAAGGTGTGACTTCCCTCCATTGCAAAGCGGATGACAGGTGACAATCAAAGGTTTAAAACCTTTAAGGAAAGATTATGCACCACGGACAATAAAATATCAATTAAAGGGGCCTATCTTATGAGCAACTAGCAACTACCTGCCAATAATATTTTTCACAAAATCGCTTAAAAGCACGGAAATTGTTCCTTGTCGCGACAAGATCGGTGTAATAAATTGCGGAAACAGATGTATGTTGTATTGAATTAAGCATTATAACACGTTCATGTTCCCACAAGATATGATGGGCAGACTGCTCGCGTATGATCGCGTTGGTTTGGCCGAACCTTTACTCCAGATATCGTAACGCCATCACCACACATGCCATTACAATGTTAACGGTCCCATCGCCAAATCGCCGATCGGCTTATGTATGCGACCCACAATTGCCTTTAACAACTTTACTTTTACAATGTGTACAGTTTGCAAAAAGAATTACAATTTGTATTAATTTGTTGATGAAAGAAAAAATATGTATACAAATTTTATCATTATTTCTGTTTCCAACTCCTCCAAGGCTGCAAACTAGGTATCTCCTTGTATAAATTAATTAATCAATATCTATTAATAATTGGTTTAAGCATGTAAGTAACTAAAAAATAGTGGTTTTCACATTTAAATTATTAGTAGGTATACTCATATATTCATTGCCAGAATTCGATTTCAATTATTTGGGGACACTTTTTTCCGTACACTTTCTAATATTATAGTGTTAAACTCTAAAAAAAAACATTTCATGGCAATCTAAGGTAGGTAATGCACCAAATTTTTCCTAATGTACATTTTTTGCTGTAGTCCGTACCAATACAATGAGATTTCGGCGCAGTGCCAAAGTAAGTTAGCCCACTTGCAATTTGACACGGTTTAACCGACCAACCAAATTGCATCTTATTCTTAGTTTGTTATGATCCAAACTCTCATAGCATCACCAATATTTCAAATGCATCTTCAATAACACTGATATCTCAATTTCAATCTAAAGGTATTGAAACGGAGGGTCTAAAATAGCACAGCTGTTTTCTTCTTCATTTCTAAATAAACAGTTTTGAGAGTATACAAGATGGTGTCAACTGGTATACTTCCATGTTAACATGTCCGAAGAATGCAGTTAAGTGAAAAGATAATGCTTTGTGTTAAAACACTTAAAACATTCTCTAACCCTAATAATGAAAACAAACTATCACGATGCAGATCATTCTTGTATCCATTAGCATAGGTGTCAAAATATTATGAGATGACTTTCAATTAATTCATGCATAGAGAGCGTATCAAATGTAACATGTTAATCTTGAGATTGCTCTTATTCCTCGAGGAATACGAGCAATTTTTGCAGTGCTGCTGTCACATAAGGCTCACTGACAAGCTAACTAGATTAAGTAGGTACACCATCAGAAAACCAAATCAATGTATAGAAACAACTGGACACAAAAAGTGTCTATGCATGCGCCGAAAGTGGTTTTAATTTTAATTTTAGGAAACCAAAATATTCACTGGACTATACTCCACAAGACACAAAAGTGTCTACGCAGATTCTAAAACTGAGTTGCACCACCTAACTTTAACGGTAACTATAACGATAACTATAACGATAACCGGTGCTTTTTGTATGGAGTTTGACAGATTTTTGACGTTTGTTAAAGCTAAAGTAAGATAGTGCAACCCAGCCTAAGTGCTCATGTTGAGAATATATTATTTTCTTAACTTTAAAATATGCGAATGGAAAACCTGTGATCTAGAAGATAGCCTTTAGATGACTATTAAAGACCCTCCTAAGCAATTTTGCTTCGGGCAAATTGCAAACAACGGTATCGGAATAAATATCTATCGATGCTCGAACAAATAAAAATGGACCAGATATTTTACAAATTATATAGCACAAGTAGTGCTTTCGCTTGAGGCGCCTAAAAGCATTTTAAGCATTTTGCAAAGATATTAAAACCGTTATGTAAATTGACTACTTATACACTTTTGTGAACATCTAAAAAAGCAAAAAACAATCGTCGATCTATTATACAAATTTCGACCATTTTGCGTAAATAATATCATTGTGATAATTTCCAATAATTTTTCTTAGAATATTTGTGTGTCTATTTACCAATAACCTACAATAATAACTAGTTAGACAATATATTGCTCTACCTACTTTGTTCATGAAGGAATACGGATGTTCAAAATGCCAACATCTGTCCTGTCGCTACTAACTTCCTAGTCCAAACTAAATGGCATCGATCAATGATAAACAAAATGTCAGAGCTCTATACTGTGTAGGTGTCCTGCCTCGTAGATACATTTTTCAAGTTGTCAATTATGTATACGGATCAAAACACTTCTAAGAATATTAAAGGTACACCATCAATACGTCAAGATTTTCCTCTTCACAAAAAAAACATACAAAACGACCCAAATAAATTAACGCCCGTATTCACAAGCATTACTATGAGGTCTCATAGTGCGCGTGGAAGAACAGGGTCACAACTCACACTCAAACCAATCACAAAGCTCTATTCAACGCTGTGCGTCCGATTTGCTGCGTCACTTAAGCAAGCATCGTTTGTGAATACGTGTGTAAGTCCAGTGGTTCTAGGAACCTGTTTTTGAAAGAAAAGTGTTTGGTACTGTACTGAATTATACGATCAGTTATGTTATCTATCAAGTCATGTCAAGTCAGAATAATTAATTTATCAAAGCACGGATTCAAGTTCAATAACCACAGCAGGATTCAAGTTTTTTCTNTTTTTTCGTCTAGCGAAAGTTGTTGATTGTAATAATATTAATGTATTCTGTCTATTTTTATTGATAACGAAAGTAACTCTTACATGATACCAGTTTTACTCTCATTTGTTTGTGCTGTAACATCTCTACATTTTTAGAGTAGGTATAAACTTTCTTTACTAGTTCCAATATTATTTTGACAGTTTCCACTAATAGAGTAGTTTGCTCGTAAGTGCTATCTTTTCATACCCACATACGAGTACATAGTGTTTAAGCAAAATGAGAGAACATACATCAGTAAAAGGGACTTTTAAAAAACAGGTTATAAAGACCGAGACTTTTATGAGACGAATCAATGTTTTAACAATTTAGGAGAGTAATGTTTAAAAACAAAAAAACACGAAAATTCAGTTAATTATTTTAAAAAACAACAGAAAATGCAATAGCAGAACTGTTTTTTAACTTTTAATTAATGTATTTTTATCATTACTTTTTCAGGTCCTGGCGCTGTTTTTCCTGGCTGGAGTTTCTGCACGACCTTCCAATGAGTAAGTTTAATTTTTTGTAACTTTTTAGTAATACATTAAATCAAAACTTCTAAATACAAACTATGATTTTTTTTTATAAATAGTATACCTAAATACCTTTACTTTTTAAAATTAAACAAATCGAATACCAACCAATAAAATCTTTACTTTAAACCTATAAATAATTAATAATTTAAAAATCTTACTTCACTATGCTTCTTATTATTATAATACTTCTTCCTAAACACTATAACGGAATCAAAATAATGATATTATTAGAATGTATGCACAACCCTAAAGAGCACAACTAACAATGGATCAAAGTGGCTTTGAAAAAAAAAGTGCACTCAAGCAATCTACCATTTGGGACCCTAATGGTTCAGGTATGGCTCTTCAAATTATATTGACTCATGCTTCAAACCACCGCTTATTTTACATATATTACACGCTAAATTAATATTTCGCTTGGATACGGTAATGGAGTTGTTCAACAAAAAACAAATCACTTAACACCTGCCTTTAATATTTCAGGGCAACGACACCTTTAGCTGACGGATCAGAAGCAGCTGAGTTCGATGACCCAAATGATAAACAAGAACGCTCACTGACATACGAGGTTAATCCTGAAGAGCATAGCAACTTAGAAGATATTGTACAGAAAATCAAAGCAGTCAATGAAGGATTAAAAACGACAACAAGAAGACCTCCTATCAATTATAATACTCAGCCTCAAACAGGAGGGGGCTACGTTATTGACAAAGACATCTTAGAGAAGCTTCAGCAAATTATTGCTACAGGCAAATTTAACCCTTCAGCACAGAAATATCAGGAAAGCAACTATTTGAGCGAAGACTTAGGAGCCCCTAGATATTCAAGACACTTGCCATTTGGACTAGCACCTACCACGCCTAATGGAATAAATACTGAGCAACAAGTCCACATGACTCCTGTCCCTTATGTCACAAATATGCCAGTTCTTGTTATGCCTTTGGGAAACAGTATGAACAATAACGATTTCCAATCAAATATGATTGATAGTTCTATGGCATACCAAACACGCGCGGGTCTACCTTTCCCATTTCAATGGCCTTTAGCACAATTTTTCCCTGTTTTAATTAAAGATCCCTTACTGAACTTCATGGGAGGTGGTGGCTGGAATAACCTTATTCAATATGGACAGAGTGCTGACGTATGTAATAGAAAACAAAAGGCAATTGAAGGTTCTGAAGAAGATACGGAGGAAATCAGTAATGATGATATCAAACCGGAAAATGATGGTGACTTCGTTGATTTTGCATTAAATGCTAGACAAGGTAGAGCTTTGAAAAAACGAACCATTTCAGAAAAGACTTTGGACAACAATATTGAAAACATAAAAAAGATCAAAAAAATATTCTCTGTAAAACCGACGACACCAAAACCAGTTAAACAAGTCTACGTAGAAGAACAAGACACTAAAACAGCTAATCATGATGATGGAGACTTGCGGTTTCCATTTTTCGGAGATTGGACTCTCTTTGGAAACAGAAAGCCTATTGCACCAAGCCCAGGCTTCTTTATTAACAAACTGAAGGTCCGTAGAGGAGGTGTCGCTATAGCTGGACCTGGTGGAGTGGCTACTGCGGGTAGAGGTGGAACTGCTATCGTTGGTCCTGGAGGCCTCGCCTACACTCAACCTGGAGGTTTAGCAGTGGCTGGCCCATCGGCACGAGTCATCGCTCTCTCACAAGAACACGACCTCTCATCGATCGTCGCGCGTCTTCAAGAACAATCAGCAGCGACTGATGGTTCTGTACCAAGATTATTAGAAGCAATACCTGAAGGAAAAGTTGTTGCAACTGGCCCTGTAATATATTACCATCCTAACGAACAAACGTGACCATTTTTCTAACCTTTCTTCTTTTTCTTCCTTTTACTTGTCAATTAACTTTGGTTCTTTCGGTTTGTTAGATTCTACCGTGGATGGGGGCAGTACCCAGGAGAGTACAGGAGAGAGGGATCTGGATTCAGCGGGAGGTCTGACGAGTACCAGTACAACGGAGGGGGCTTTGTAAAGGGGCCATGGAGACCGGACTCCTTCTTTTTATTTTTGAAGCCGACGGCGAATGCTATCAATAGCCCCCGAGGAGTGGCCATAGCTAACCCAGTGTCTAATGTGATCATCGGTCGCAACGAGTTGGGGACCGTTGGTCATTCCCCTGTAGCATCTGCCGTGGTGGGGCCCGGAGGCATTGCCCACGCTCAATCGGACCTTTATGTGTACGAATATTATCCTAGGTACTAGACCTACAAAATTAGGGTTAACTTTCTAATTTTTATTGCTCAATAGCTCATGACATTTTAATTTAAAAACTGAGAAATATGTTTATGTTACTTTGTTATGTTTGTTATAATATTTTAAAGACTGTTTGTAGACTCTCACTATGATATTTCTATGATTCATTTACATGCAATTTTTTTTTTCATTATGTTAAATTGGAAAAAAATTAATGGTTATTTTGTCATTCTCATAGTCTGATTATTATTTAAGTAATTTATTGTTTGCATTTATACAATAAGCTATTTATTTTAGTATAGTTATTATTATTTGAAGATTTTGTTCATTAATTTCGGAAAATATGTTCGACATTTAACTTGAAAATATGTTCCGAATGTTAAAGTTGACTTATTTATTTGTTTAATTAATTTATTATATTGAAATTGTTGTTCAAAGCGCTTGTTTCATTCATAACCGATCATCCCATTTCATTCCTCAAACAACAATAACAATAATTTCAAGTAGAAATACATTGCATTACATACAAATGAAAAAAAGAGTTAATAATGATTTGTATGAGACCACACACAAAATTTTTGTTGTTATTGTTGATTGAAATCCATTCCCATCAATCAAAATTCAAGATAAATATCCTGAAAAGAAATTTTCTATTTCTCTTGTTACGCAAGGTTTTTTGATCTCATAATCATCATTAGCTATTTTCATGAACAGTAACTTACTGCTAGTTTCTGAGCTAGTAGAAAATAACAACTACATACTTTACAAAATAAATGTTAAGATTGTTTGCCACCAATTATTTCTGGTTCAGAAACTGAGCGTAAGTTTTGCTTTTCATTGGTTGCACTTACATGTTCCATGGGGTGCATTAGAGAGAAGTATTAAAATATGGTTGGATAAGTTAGAGGTTTAAAATATCATACTCGCATAATCTATCTAATTATTGGAAAATAACTCAGATAACTTATTAATTAAGTAAATAAACTCTTCCTCAGCGGATCCGTTCAATACCTTCCCTTCTACGGAGGAGCAAAGGGCCAGTACCTAGAAGTAAAGAAAGACAGCTTAGGAACTGTAACAAGCGAAAAGATTGTCTCTGAAGACAAAATAAGCAGTGACAATATACTGAAACACAGCGATGAAAACCTGCTATCGAAAGTACTGGCAGCTAATTTGATAAGCCTAAAAACTACTTCAACAAATCTACTGAAGTTACAAACTCTGGGAAGAAAGACAGGCTCTCTAAAGAACACAGAAAAAACGAGGTTTAGGAATCAGCTAGCAGCGGTTGGAGAAGCAGCCTCGAACATTATCAAGTTGATAGAAGAAATAGGAGATGACGTGGACATGCTATTCAAAACCAACGTCACACAGAGAAAGTATGACGAAAACGATGACTACGTAAGTATGAGATAATTATGTAAATCAATAATCATCAAATAAAATAAATATCATAAAACTGACGCTAGATATGATGCCAGTTTTACATACCTACCTTATGAAGTCACGTACGATATTAAGAAGAAGAAAAGTTTAAATATATTTTATTAGGGCTGCAAAGTCCAACACCGCCAGAGTCAAAGATAAAGAATGATCTTAGTTAATTTAATAAAATGATTTCATTTAATTATTGTTCACATTTGTGTCTATTATTTCACAGATCGAAGAAGAGGGAGTAGGAATCGAAGCACCTACAGACAATGACGAAACCGCAGAAATACCACTGGGTGGCACCATCATTGCTGAAGCAAAACCAGTCGGTTAGTAACCTCTATAAATATTTTATAAGTATAAAAAATCAATTATCCATCCATCCAATATCAATTATCAACACAAGTTAAAATCATTTGTTCATAGCTGAGAGAGAATGGTTATTAATAAGTTATTTTGGAGAAGATACTTCCCTCCCTTTCCTTGATAATAATAAAATTGATGCCTGAATGATTGAATCCATGGATAAGTTAAATAAGGGATGAATTATTATTAATTATCTGCCAAACAAAATATTTCGTTCGTTTCAGCCAAAAAACGTCCACTGCTGGACAAAGGCCTCCCCCAAGAATTTCCACAAAGACCGGTCCCGGGCGCGCTCGCATCCATTATCGTGGGCAGGCCTCCCTCTAGGTGGACCGACGATTTGGTGCCTGGATGCGAGCGGAAAATCTTTAAGGAACTATTATATTAACTTAAATTTTAATGGTTTCAGGTCTAGCAGTGATAGGTGAAAACGGTCTCGCAGCTTCCCGGCCCGTGGCCACAGCAGTGGCCTCCTCCGGAGTGGCTCTGGCCAGGCCCGTAGCCACCGCGGTCGCTGGAGTGGACCCTGCAGCTCTCGGCATCAACTTCCAAATTAACCACTTTGGGAAAAGTCCCTCGAAATTGCACAATTGAGCCGTACTCGGTTACTGGTGATAAAAAAAGATATTTATCTTGGAATTAAACTCGATATGTATTTTACTCGTATTTTATATCTCGTAGATGTGCTGCTACCATGCTATTAGTAAGGTACTGTTGAATATTGGCTATTTGAAAACCTTTATAAAATATTGGTCCCATATAATAAATATGTCATTATTTAATTTTCTTTCATGGTAGATATTTTTAAGTACATCTATGATACTTTAATGTAAAATTTTAATTAATCAATTTTCTTCTATGTATCTATTAAATAAGTTACAACCAACTACATGTACGATATGTGATGAATTCGGAAATTGATCGAAACTGTAAAAATGTGATAGTAATGTCTTTTGAAGACACAAAACTATATTTATTGAAATAAAGTAACATAATTTAAAAGTTTAGTGTATTTTGTACCCATTTGCATTTTCCAACTTTACAAATGGGTTTTAACCCTACATAATTATGCTCTCAGAGGTAGAAAATCATATTTTGTTACAGACAATCTGACAACCAATCTCTCAACTAGTTTGAACCTGCAATAACTCAATTGAACCACATACAAAACTACAGAATTCGAGTATAGTGTCAAGAGAAGCAAACTTTCTAACTACTCTATAAATGGTTAGTAGACTTTTAGGCATAGAATGCAATTTGCAATGTTCAAGTCCTAGATGGCCCAAAGAATTGTTATAACGTGTGTTGGCTCAAACGCCTACAACACATTGCAATGACTACATTGGTTACACATTAGTTGCATTGGTTCAAACATAACCAATGTGTAGAGTCGAATGCAAACCCAGTATTCTCTCGCCTAACATGCAAAGTTGCATTTTATTACGATGCAGTTTTCCGATACCGATACAATTCAACTCACGCGCACGATTATTCGATACGATCGCCTCACTTGTAAGGGCATATACGTGCTCTGAAACCATTACCTCACTTTTGGCTAATTTGTCCTATATCATCATCTTCGCTTCGGTTTGAATAATGCATACGGTCAATAAAGGCATGAATTTTGAGTGCATGACTCCTGCAACTGCGCTGGTTGACATTGACATTGTAAACTATGAAGGCTGATTAACAATAATTATCAGATTTATAGGTCCCTATGGTGATTATGAACGTTTGATTCCCAAGCGATTTAATTTTGAGATCCTTTTTTTTAACCACAACGAGGAAGCTCTTGGCCTGTATCGCACCTGATGATAAGTGATGATCAGGCCGAAGGTGTCACATAAATTGTTCAAACTGCGAATCCACTATTACGTATACTGTATGTCACCCAATCCACTCTACGTGATAGAGTGTAGAACATGACTAGAACCATCCCTGATTGGGCCTGAGACTTATTCCTTTAAAGAGTTGTCAGTCTTGCAGGGTTTAAAAAAAGTCTTGAGGTTGAGTCACATGTTTTGTCATTTAATCTTTTATTAAAAAGTAAAAGGACCTAGCTCACTGAAACTGGATTATCACTTTGAATTAATGGAACTTAAAGTATTTTTTATCCACATTATTAGATTAAATACTAAGAGCTTTGAAACTTTGGGCTAAAACACCCATTGAAATGGAAACGATAGGTAGGTACAGGAAGTTATAATGTGTATGGCTTTCTACACTTCAGAACTTAGTACTATTGTTTTTGCGATGACTCAGGTTGTCATTCAGGGATTTCCTGCTTTATTGAGGATTAGTAATTTCTATATTACCTTGAATTTGTAACCACAAAGGTGACAAATTACTTATTACTTGATTCAAATTTTACAGTATTTAAAAAAACAATTTGAAAGAGAGTGATTCTTAAGCTCAAAATACAGTAATTTAATGGGACCAATATCTGAAAATACACCTTTAAAACTAATAATTGGCGATCAATTTGTATGACCAAGTGCATTTGTGATTCGTAGTCTGGTCAAGCAGGCGAACTGTAGTGACAATATACCAAAAATGATGAGTCTCAAGGCAATTTTGGCAAAAACTGCAAACTGCAATAGAATGTTTTAATTTAAGACCAGTCCAGAAATGAAACCGGAAATAATTAGAAAAATTGTTTGAAATCACTTAAATACAGTATTTTAGTAGAAATACGAATACCTATGTAGTAAAGCTACCTAGTACCTTTACCTACTCTTATGTATATTCATTCAAGACATAACCGAATGAATTATTGTTTATTTCACCGAATAGCGTACATTCATGTGCGATTGCGTATCATATTATGCAAAAACGATGTTATTTTGAATTATAAATACCACGTGTTGATTAATAATTATAATCTACAATTTACTACAAATAAGTATGATACACAACCTACTTACTGCGTGTTACACTTTTTCTATTGATCATTTATGGCGATCATTGCATATAAGCTAATTTGCATTTTAGCTGCGACAAAGATGGCATTGCACAAGCAATCAATTTATTTTTCCAATTATTGTATTAAAATTTTAATTAAATCCAATCCCAGATATAATGTTGAGAGTATAAATTACGCAGAATGTCAAGATAGGTGTAAGCTTATATTTTTTATTTATACATAATACACTTCAAAGTTTCATATGGTCCGATAAGTAGGTATATCAAGGACGACTTTTTCATATGAAAGAGTGAATATTCACTAGAAACAAAATCAAAATAAAATCCAAAATCATAATAAATCACGATAATTATGTTAAGATTTACGTAGACAAAGTCGCGGGTATCCGTAAGTGTTAATAACTGAAGTCAGACAGTCATTAACTTCCTCAGTAAACTGTAGGTAGTTACTGCAGTGAGTAATAAACGTATGTCCAAATAACAATGTTCACGGGAACGAACATCAAACACTGCGCCTGCGCTTGATTCCAAGAAATGTGTCATACTGTCAACTGAACTTAGCGAAAACTGGTGTAGGTAGTTTACTACCACAAAGCACAATCAAAAATGTTAATTGTACAGTCGTTTTATTTTCTCTAAAATGTAACTAATAAACGAACTTTGCCTTGGTCGATAGGTGCCACATATTATCTCATTGTCAAACTCAATAGCCAAGTCCTGCAGCAAAAGCAACCCTATCAGCATGCACTAATATACAATCATAAAAAAAAACTTATATTTTTTGCAAGTAGGCTTTTAAAAAGCGCTTACAAGTACCAGTCAGGCCACTGCTTCGAGACTGGGCCAGTGCTGAGAAGAAGCTAGCAACAATCATTACATAAGGAAACAGATTAGATACAACAGCTTTGCCTCATCAGACAACAGCTGATGAGCTAGACAGATAAAGGATGACTGGTGTGCAGAACAAAAGTATAGAAGAACCGAATGACGTTAAATGACGCACCAAAAACCTCGAAATGTGCCTCGAATTTTTGTTATTAGTTAGGTAGATACACCACAAACCTAAAGACCCCAAAGTTTTAATACTTGTATTTAATCAACAATCAGTTAAATAATTAAAATTGTCACCTTTGATGATTAATGGGAGTTTAGAATTGGTACCCATTTCGGGGTAACAATTCTAACCCCAATAAAAAATTAGAATGTAAAAAATAGAAATTTTCCTTCTAGTTATTTCTCATTCAGCGCTGGCCAGTCACTTGCGGAAGAAGTATATTAGCTTGTAAATAAAATTAATTTATAATCGAATAAAAACGCCACCTCAAGGGTTTTTATTGTTTAGATGAGTTACTTAGCTGGCGCAGGGCCAAGCGTAATTTTCATAAAGAAATCAAGATTCGCTTCTATAGGAAAATTACACGATATGAAAAGTGCGATCCCCGATTACATTGTTTGAACTGGATAGAAACTGCGATTAGCAAAAGAGATTAAATCTGGGAGACCTTCAATAGGAACAAGAAGCATCGTTGAAAGACATCCTTCTGAGTTTGTTAAACTCGAGAACTTTTCTGAACTTTAGGCGGATTGACGATCCGGTTANTCCGCTGGAGGTCGTCAGAAATAACTGGATACGGGCAACGCAGGACCGCTTAGTGTGGAAGTTCTTGGGAGAGGCCTTTGTCCAGCAGTGCACGTCATTTGCCTGAAACGGATGAACGAACGATTCTCAAATTAGTTATATTGCCTGGAGTCCAGCCGACAGAACTATGTTTATTTCCAAGTGTTTCCTTAGCGTCACGCAGCGTTCACATAAGCGACCGGCGGTCACCATGTAGACCCTGGATACACAGGAGTGAGAACAGTGGAAATAGGCCCATCATCGCTCCAGACGAAAAAGCCACGCCTCTTTCCAAATTTTCTTTAGCGTCACGCACCGCTCATTAGAGTGGCTGGCGATCAACATGTAGACCCTGGCTACTTAAGAGTTGGAGAATTAGTATTAGTCCTGAGATAGTTCCAGGCGAAAGAAGACCCACGTCAATTTCCACTAGTGTTTCCTTAGCGTCACGCACCGCTCATTAGAGCGGCTGGCGGTCAACATGTTGAACCTGGCTACTTAAGAGCGTTTGTTAGTCGTATACCTCGAAATCAAAAAATCCTTGTAGCTTTTCACCTATTCGCATTTCACCGTGATAGCGTTTTTTGTTGTAGCGTGTAATATCGGTAGGATATTTTGTTACTAGCATATATTTTTAACAGATTTTTACAACAGTAGCTAAGTGCTCTGGAATTACAACATCAGCAGTGGTTCGAAAAGTACAATTTCCAGTGTGCCTTTTTCGATTTCGTTACAGAGCGTCTCGCTTTGTAAAAAAGGATGGTAATTTATGTGCATATTCCTCACTCCGGCAGGAAAGTAAATCTACTATGAATTTTTTAGACAATTGTAATTAGCGATCAAAAATTATACTACAAGAATAAAAATCTATTCAGAAATTTTGATATCGCGGCGAAATGCGAATAGGTGAAAAGCTACAAGATTGTTTTGATTTCGAGGTATACGACTAACAAACGCTTAAGAGTTGGAGTGTTAAGACTAGTCCTGGGATAGTCCCAGGCGAAAGAAGACCCACGTCAATTTCCACTAGTGTTTCCTTAGCGTCACGCACCGCTCATTAGAGTGGCTGGTGGTCAACATGTAGACCCTGGCTGCTTAACACATGACACANTTCGTTAATTTATAAAAATATCAAATTAGCCCGTAATCCTAAATCCTGATACATAAAGTTAGCCTATTAATTTAACACAGGTACGACTGTACTCAGTGTTGCACTATCAAATGCAATTGACGCGCCTCTATGCCAGGGTTTTTATGTTCCTGGTCAGGCTATACCTTTTTTACACAATACCCTGTGTTCTACAGTAAAAACTCCTATTAAAAAAAAGACATTTAAAAAATCATAAAGTCTAATGTCATTTTCATAACCGTCATTTTTGTAACCCAAAACTAAGCAAAGAGTAGACTATGAAATAACCTACCACTACTACTTATTCACGTGGTGGTTTCCCAAATCAAAAAGACAACTTTTTTTGAGTTTTAATTTTAACTGAACTTTTTTATCATCACCTAACTAATTAAATGTTTTATAACACATAAGCAAAAATGACAAAAGTGGAGCTTTTAGGTACGCTATTCTCAACTTTTTACTGAAACCATTTACTAAAATAATAAAAACCACGTTAGATAACGACATATCGATATCGGATTACATAGTAGGACCTTTGATCTAAAATGGATGAATGATTTTGAAATCGTGCGCAAACGCATCGGTTGAATGATGCGCTTCTGTATTTGGAGATGGTCTCCATTTATTAACTTGTTAAAATATATGTTTCGGTGAATGGATGAATTTATTTATCGTGTAGTACATCAGAGCTTTTAAGGATGCAATTTTTCCATTAACCTTAATAAAGGCAGTGGCTATAATTTCCATTCATTTAATCTTATAGTAGAGCTGATGCAGTAATTTTATATTAGCATCTACTCTTTATTAAAAAATATTTTGTTGTATTTTGAGATTAGGTTGAAGTGAATTTAAATTGTTTTCGTCATAATTATTTTTACGTGATTATTTTGATATGAAGTATTTGGTATTAATATATAATTAAAAAATAAACTATATAAAATTCGTAGCAAACCCTTCCATGAACATTAATTATTCTATAGGTATTCCAAACTCAAGCCAAAATTGATCAGCACTTCCTAAATTCTCTCACTGGTCCTCGACTTCAAAAAAGGCTCTACACTCTTTCCCTAAACACCCATTCTTAACGCAAACACCAATGTCTTCGTTCAACCGGCAAACGACCCATGGTTTTCCTCCACTGTGCAATCCCATCGAACTGGGTCGGCCGCAGCGACGCGCGACCCTCTGTGCGTGGCCCATAATTACGTGCGCAGGAGTGGCGCAAAGTCATTCTTCGCGACAGGTCGGATATGACAGCGTGCCGGCCGGCTAAATACGTGTGACATTTTGCAAGGGTTGGGAAAGAATAATGCGTTTTTGAAAGATGATGGGAACTAAGCCTATTTACCCGACTGCGCCAGAAGAGGGTTATGTTTTTGACCATCATATGTGTTAGATTTGCTTGACCGGTAATAGCAACTCTTACCACAACAGTGGTTGAAGATTAGGCCGCGGAAAAAACGCACAAACTCGTATACAGGAAAGTTTGCTACTTTTCATAGCTACTTTGCGGTACCTAATTTTAAAAAGCCCATCGTGACCCATAATTACGTGAACAGGCGCAAAGTCATTCTTAGCGACAGGTCGGATAATATGACAGCGTGCCGGCCGGCTAAATACGTGTGACATTTTGCAAGGGTTGGGAAAGAATATAATGCGTTTTTGAATGATGCCAAGCACCATAATGGTGGGAACTAGGCTTTAGATGAAAATGTCATTTGTTTGTGTTGACCACCTTTGGATTACTCAACAACTCTCTTCACGCCTAATGGTAGTTGAAGATCAGGTGTCGGACAAGGTACACTCAGTTTAAAGAGAATTCGTAAGGGTTTTATTAAATTTTTCGGTAATTTAATGATATTGACGAGAAAGAAGGCCTATTAATATAGAAAAGTTCAGTTCTGGTGGTCCTGGGATCCTTAGGTAAAATTTCTTAGTTTTATCAACGGTCATTGCACGCCCTGCAGTGAAGTTACAACCTTATGAAGAGCCTTTTTACCGCATTTTAATCCTAGCGTGTGTTTTGTAAATAATTAACAAGCAACACCATTTATCGTCTAACTTAAACAAGCTACTCTAGTTCGTTTAAACTAAGAGAGGAAACTTATAAAAACATGTGACTTTTTGCAAAGATTTGCAAAACTGATATAGCGCTGTAGGCAAACAGCATGTATGATACAAATCTAACTTGTTATACAAAACTTTTGACGGACGGCTGTTTAATACTAGTCCATGTAATATCCGACCGCACACGTTAAACAAGACTGACATTAAAGATCACATCTATGTTTTCTGGACAAAGATATCAAAACTTTATAAAAAATACTAGCTTTCCGCCCGCGGCTTCGCCCGCGTGGAATTTTGCCTGTCACAGAAAAACTTTCAAAAACCGGAATATAAACTATCCTATGTCCTTTTCCGGGACTCAAACTATCTCCCTGCCAAATTTCATCCAAATCGGTTCAGTGGTTTAGACGTGAAAGCGAGACAGACAGACAGAGTTACTTCGCATTTATAATATTAGAATAGAAGTAAGATAGTATAGATTACGTCGCCTGTGGACTACTTCAAACATGTCAAAATCCTACATAACACAGTCGCTTCGCTGAATTTCCTGAATCTAGGTTAAAAGAAGGCCTTATATCTCAATTAAAACATTGCGACTTACATGAGAGGTATGGAGGAATTCATACCATTATGATTACCGATTAATTCAGAAATAATTAAACTGGTAATATTTTATAATAACATAAGTATTAAATTGATAGATTGAAGACTGACTGACTGACACACAAGTTTGAATTTATGCTGCACTTTGATTTGGTAGCTGGAAGCCTAGGTAGTAGTTGAGTTCCAATATGCAGATTTGTCTGTATGTACCGCTTAATTTATCTACATTAATAATTATGTTAAAGAGGAAACATTTGAGTGTTTGTTTCTTTGTAATAATCTCCGAAACTAGTGGACTGATTTGAATAGTCTAAAAATTTCTGATGAACATAAGTGGTACGAAATTCGCCTGGTCAGCTAATTAAAATATAAGTCGATATTCAAAGTACTAAACTGAAATACGTTTTATTTGCAATACATTAACATAAATATGGATATTTCTATTCTTGCTTTGCCATGTTATGAAGTCGGATACTTCTCGGACAGCCTGTATCATGAGGCACAAAGGGCAAAGGATAATGCCCCGGTAATGGGCACGGATGTCATTGACCGCCAAACTAAACGTACCTACTTGACGAATTACCATTGTCCTGACTGGTCCTAAGATATTTTGAGTGACACGCGAATTTTATAGCAACAACTTAAGAATTATGCTTACTTTTTCCCATTATAAGAAAATAATGTAGTTACAACAAAGCAGACATAATGGATTGTCAAACGTTCAAAGTTTTCAAGTCAACCGTTACTTTGCATAATAAATTACTACTTAATTTATAAATATTTTATCCAAGAAAATCAAGTATTTAAATCGATATGTGTCACCATAATTTTGTTTAAAAATAACAAAAGAAAACAGTAAAGTAATTGTTCTGAAGACGATGAAGAAATAGATCAGATGTAATTTAACTCTAAGAATAATCTGGATACTAACTTGGTAATTAATTGTGCGTGTGCTGTACAGTAATGTAAAGTAACATAATGTAATGGAATTTCTCTTGCTCCTCATAATGATGGGGTTGCGAAATATGCTTCCACTTCCGAAGCCATTCGAGCGTATCTCAAATTGCAGGTCACGATATAAAGCTGTTACAAAAGGTGCGTAATAATATGCAATAATACATCACTTTCTTACAACCGCAACAACGTAAAGCACATAAACCTACGTAGGTGTATAGTCGTAGGTAATACAGGCAGACACAATACAATAGCTGACAATAACTAATTCCCTATATTGCGCAGTTACACTAAGCGGGAAATTGACCGAGACGAAGCGCGAGCATGCATACCGAACTATGGGCGACACACGGCGAAGCTTCATGAAATGCGTGTTTACACTATGTGTCTTGCGCGTATTTGCGCCAATAATTGGTATAATTTAATTATTATACGGGTCCGATACAAACTACGCAGGTATACTATGATTTTTGACAGTTTTTTTACTTTACTAAAACATTGATACGCATTCAAAAAAGTGAGTAAATGCTATAAATACCTCTTCTTATCGACGGCGTCCTTTCAATCTCCAGCCACTGGTCACTTTGTTTCACATTCACAACTCACAACACTTCACTTCAATCAAAAGTGCACAAATCACTAACAACGCAGGGCATTTGATAAAATAGTTCGACTAAAATAAGAAAGAAATAATTAATTTATTAAGATTTTGTCCAAACCGATAATCACAATTAATTACGCAGCCACCGCGCATCGGCACTCGCGACAGACTGAGCGCCTTCACTTGGAAATTATTTATGATCAATTCACAACTACCCTCATATAAACATTGAGTTATAATGTACTACGTACTAGAGAAGACATGNGAGTTTGTTGCGGCGCTTCTTCTCAGCACTTGCCAAATGTTGGTCTCGAAGCGCTGGTAGGGTAAAAAGATTATGAGACATGTAGAGGCTCCTTAAGAGCAAAATGACGATTTGTAAGAACTATTTATTAGTCTAAACAAATAAAGAAACTTTGACTTTAAAGTTGGAGTATTAGGACTAGTCCTGATATAGTTCCAGGTGAAAGAAGACCCACGTCAATTTCCACTAGTGTTTCCTTAGCGTCACGCCCGCAGCGCTCATATAAGCGGCCGCGCGCACGCGCCGCGCATTACTGAGAGCAACGCACGCGCACACACTCCGCTGGACATGGCCGCTCGCATTGTAAGTACACTTTAATGGAGCAAGGTCTAGTCATAATTAGGATTAAGATGTGCCCTCAAAATATGTCAGTCAATTTTATGTCTGATCAAGTGAAATATTAAAATGACTTTGGCTAACCCCGCTTTTAGAGGTTGGGCCGATTTCTGAATTGAAATTTTTGGCTCAAGCGTGCTCATCCCTAATCATGAACTATTCATATTAAATTCATCTTTTAGTAAAAGAAGCACGCTCAAGTCGGAAATCTCAATTCAGTAACCGAGCTTTTCATTTTTTTTTAATGACAAAGTTATTAAATTTTAATAATAAAGTTAGTGGTAATGTATTGTAAAGGAAAAAGAGTGAAATGCATGATTCGTCTTTGACATTTTGAATCACTGTGTCGCTTTTGGAATCACATGCTAGATTGTGTAGAGCACATAAATGCACCCATCACAGTTGAGTTGAGTATACAATAATGTATTCACAAAACACTTTTCTAAGAGTTGCATCTGATATATACAAATGATACCTATGAATTCAGTCCATATCTTTGCTAGTTGTAAATAGAGATTATTGTATGACACAGTTCATTTTACAAATTCTTGAAAAAAATCTTCAACTTATTTTTTCTTTGCTCCATAACTTTCATTCTTAATTTTTAATTTAGTATGTTAAAAAACTGTCACATAAATATGCACTAATTAACAATATAAATATGCCTTATTTAATTTATAAGAAAGATATCTCACAATTTTTAACTAACATAAAAGTGTCTCATTGAAATATTTTACGTGATTTCCTGAGTTTTCCTTGTCCAAAGTTCAACAAAAATGAGTTAATAGCTTACTCAAATCTCAAATGATAATACCCAAAAATGTTGCCCTGAAATAACCCTCTAACATATTTTATTAAGGATGTCTTAAAAAGTATAAAAAGCCCGAATGTAGAATCTAATTACCTACCACTTAATTAATGTTACCTTATAAATCCTGATCAAAGCTTCAATTGAAACTGACATTTAACGGATGCAAGTTTTTCACGTTCTACTGATTGACTACAACTGCAGCTTTAAGTGTGCCATCTTTTATGAGCCGTATTTAAACAAGCCATCTGGGTGTCAACCTCGGAAAGTTCATTCGATAAAATTATAGCCTGACCAGGAACATAAAAACCCTCGCCATGTTGCGGAAAACCAATGGTACTAATTTCTTTTAATGGCAACAGTAACTGAAAACTTCATTGACATGTCACCTTGCATGTCAGTCTATTGCTGTCAAAGTGTAAACAAATTTTTAAATGTGCGCAATTAATTATGTGAATGAAATTGCTAAAATCTTTTTATAGTCGTGAAAGAAAAGTGGTTCACAATGTGTTAAAGTATTTGTCGAAGAGAAATACCAAGGGTTCGGACAATATTTTCATTGAATAATGTTTCCAACAAAGGTTGTCAAATTAACTGACATGTTTATCGTATAGTACAGTCCACTATGAAAATTAGCTGTGGTTTGTTTCAACTACCTATTTTAAAGTTTTTTGTCACTTTCTAAGTGTTGAATTATNCATGCTAATAATTTTAGCTAAACATGTATGGTTCTCACTGTTTGTACCTAACATCTTTATATACCATGTCTAATTGCAAATAAATGATTATGATTATTATGATTATTAAGAGTTGGAGTGTTAGGACTAGTCCTGAGATAGTCCCTGGCGAAAGAAGATCCGCGTCAATTTCCACTAGTGTTTCCTTAGCGTCACGCACCGCTCAGGCGGTCAACATGTAGACCCTGCTGGCCACAGAATAAGTAATAGTACAGGTACAGAAGGATTACTCCGCAAGACGATTTAAATAAATGCGAGTCTTGCTACGACGCGATACAGTGGAATTCAGCTCGCACAGCACTACGTACATACAATTTTATTCACCTACAAGTTTTGTCTCTTTCTATCGCGTGCCTCTGAACTCTTCTTACGCTGTTAGGGTTGCTGTCTAGTAGTGTCTAGTAAAAAATAATTAATATACTTATTTGTAATGATGTACGTATGTAGGTAAGTACGCATTCATTATGGAAAACCTTGCGAGAGGCCTTTGTCCAGCAGTGGACGTCATTAATTTGCTGAAATGAACGAACGCATTCTGAGCAGTAGTCATGGTAGGTTAGGTTCCTAAACTATCCTAAGAATTATTGATTACCTACATGGCCAACATACCTTTCAGCATCTTTGGGAAGCGAAAAAAGAGATAAATCCGGTAGATTTCTTTTCGAATTTAAACACTCGAACGCCGCACAATAATATTTCTTACTCTTTATGTCCATTTTGTAATAATACTTCAATCATAGAATTAGGTACTACAACGCACGCCAGCGTACTGACGGGCGCGCGCGTGACACTCGACTGATATAATACCCGCCGGCGGGGCGCTTCGCTGTAGGTAATTATCGGATGTACCGCGCGGAGTCCAGGATGCCCTGGCTACTTAAGTACTAGTATCTTAATATGTAAGTCTAGATATTAGCACGTCACTACCTTGTTTAATATACCACGCAATCTTGTATCCCATTCTTATAAGATACACCATACAAGAATGGATGGTAAATTCAGTGAACTGCTCCTGAATCGAATGTTAGGTACATTTCTATTTATTTATATTAACCGGCAGACAGTGGTGACTGAGTTTGTTGCGGCGCTTCTTCTCAGCACTTGCCAAATGTTGGTCTCGAAGCGCTGGTAGGGTAAAAAGATTATGAGACATGTAGAGGCTCCTTAAGAGCAAAATGACGATTTGTAAGAACTGTTTATTAGTCTAAACAAATAAAGAAACTTTGACTTTAAGAGTTGGAGTATTAGGACTAGTCCTGAGATTGTCCCAAGCGAAAGAAGACCTACGTCAATTTCCACCAGTGTTTCCTTAGCGTCACGCCCGCAGCGCTCATATAAGCGACCGTGCGCACGCGCCGCGCATTACCGAGCGAAACGCACGCGCACACACTCCGCTGGACATGGCCGCTCGCATTGTAAGTACACTTTAATGGAGCAAGGTCTAGTCATAATTAGGATTAAGATGTGCCCTCAAAATATGTCAGTAAATTTTATGTATGATCAAGTGAAATATTAGAATGACTTTGGCTAACCTCGCATTTAGAATTTGGCTTGATTGAACTGAACTGAAATTTTTCGCTCAAGCGTGCTCATCTCCTAATCATGAACTATTCATATCTTATTCATCTTTCTGAAAAAAAAAGTACGCTCAAGTTGGAAGTCTCAATTTAGAAACCGAGCTTTTAATTTTTTTTAATGACAAAAGTTATTAATCATTCATAATTTTAATAATAAAGTTAGTGGTAATGTATTGTAAAGGAAAATGAGTGAAATACATGATTCGTCTTTGACATTTTGAATCACTGTGTCGCTTTTGGAATCACATGCTAGATTAAATGCATGCTTAAATGCACCCATCACAGTTGAGTTGAGTTGTACAATAATGCATTCACAAACCACTTTTCTAAGATTTGCATCAGACACAAACTAATGAACTCAATTTATATTAATTGGTAGTTGACAGATTATTGTATGACTCAGTTCATTTTACAAGTTATTTAAAAAAAAATTTCAACTTCGTTTTTTTTTCTTTGCTCCATAACTTTCATTCTTATATTTTAATTTAGTATCTCAAAAAAACTGTCAGATAAATATGAACTAATTAACAATATTATACTAAACATACCTTATTTAATTTATAAGAAAGAGATCTCACAATTTTCGACTAACATAAAGTGTCTCATTGAAAAATTTAACGTGATTTTCTGAGTTTTCCTTGTCCAAAGTTCAACAAAAATGAGTTAATAGCTTACTCAAATCTCAAATAATAATAGCCAAAAAGCTTGCCCTGAAAAGACCCACTATTTAATTATGGATCTCTCCAAACCGTATAAAAAGCCCGAATGTAGAATCTAATTACCTACCACTTAATTAATGTTACCTTATAAATCCTGATCAAAGCTTCAATTGAAACTGACATTTAACGGATGCAAGTTTTTCACGTTCTACTGATTGACTACAACTGCAGCTTTAAGTGTGCCATCTTTTATGAGCCGTATTATAAATAAGCCATCTGGGTGTCGACCTCGGTAAACTAATTCGATAAAATTACCTTTTTTCCACAATACACTGTGTTGTAGAACACAGCACAGCACACAGTAAAAGCCCCTATTTAAAAAAATATAAAAAATAAATATTTAAAAAAGTCATAATGCCCAATGTAATTTTTTTTAACCGTCATTTTTGTAACCCGAAACTAAGAAAAAAGTAGACTATGACATAACCTACTACTACTACCTATTCACGTGGTGATCAAATCAAAAAGACAATTTTTTTTTAAATTTTAACTGAACTTTTTCATCATCACCTAACTAATTAAATGTTTTATAACACAGAAGCAAAAATGACAAAAGTGAAGCTTTTAGGTACGCTATTCTCAACTTTTTACTGAAACCATTTACTAAAATAATAAAAACCACGTTAGATAACGACATATCGATATCGGATTACATAGTAGGACCTTTGATCTAAAATGGATGAATGATTTTGAAATTGTGCGCAAACGCATCGGTTGAATGATGCGCTTCTGTATTTGGAGATGGTCTCCATTTATTAACTTGTTAAAATATATGTTTCGGTGAATGGATGAATTTATTTATCGTGTAGTAGGTACTTCAGACACTTTTAAGGATGTAATTTTTCCATTAACCTTATTAAGGGCAGTGGCTATAATTTCCATTCATTTAATCTTTTAGTAGAGCTGATGCAGTAATTTTATATTAGCATCCACTCTTTATTAAAAAACTAGCTGACCCGGCGAACTTTGTTCCGCCTTAATGGCAATAAATAACGGGATAAAAAGTATCCTATGTCCTTCTCCTGGCTCTAAACTACCTCCCTGACAATTTTCAGCTAAATCGGTTCAGCCGTTCTTGAGTTATAAGTGGAGTAACTAACACGACTTTCTTTTATATATATAGATT